ATTTGTGATCTTTTGTGTCCAGCTTCTCTCAGTATAATTTTTTCAAGGTTTCTCCAGGTTGTAACATGTATCAGGACTTTGTTCCCTTTTATGGCCGAATAGTAGTGCTGTATGAATAATGCTGCTATAAACATTCATGTACAAGTTTCTGGGTGGACGTATGTTTTCATCTCTCTTGGGGGCGATGCCTAGGAGTGGGATTGCTGCGTCATATAGTATTTCTGTGTTTAATGTTTTGAGGAACCGCCAACCTATTTTCCACAGCGGCTGTGTTAGTTTACATTCTCACTAATAATCGAGCTGGGTTCCTATTTCTCCACATCCTCACCAACACTTGTTTTCTATTTTCTTTTTCTTTTTTTTCTATTTATTTTTGAGAGGGAGAGAGAGGGCGGGGGAGAGAGAGATCGCGTGCAAATGAGCAGGGGAGGGGCAGAGAGCAAGAAGAGGGACAGAGGATCCGAAATGGCTGTGCTGACAGCAGAGAGCCCAATGTGGGGCTTAAACTCATGAACTGTGAGATCATGACTTGAGCCAAAGTTGGACACTTAACAGACTAAGCCACGCAAGCGCCTCTCTAGTTTCTTGATTTAAGCCATCCTAGTAGGTGTGAGGTGGTATCTCACTGTGGTTATAATTTGCATTTCCTTCATGAACAACAAAAACAGAAAAATACAGAAAATTAATTTAAAATGATAAAATTAATAAAACTAAAAGTTGGTTCTTAGAAAAGATAAAATTGACAGATTTTGCTCCTTCTCTCTCTCTCTCTCTCTTTTTTCTTGGTCAGTTTAACTACATATTTGCCAAATTTTTGACCTTTTCCAAGAACCCACTTGTGGTCTTATTGATTTTCTCCTTTTTTTTCTATTTTTGATTTCATTTATTTCCACTCTTATCTTTATTATATTCTTCCTTTAGCTTGCTTTAGGTTTAGTTTGCTCTTCTCTTTCTAGTTTATTTTTTATTTTGAGAGAGAGAGAGCAAGCAGGGGAGAGGGGCAGAGGGAGAGAGAGAGAGAGAATCCTAAGCAGGCTCCATATTCAGGGCAGAGCCTGACTTGGGTCTTGATCCCATGACCCTGGGATCATCACCTGAGCCGAAATCAAGCGTCAGATGCTTAACTGACTGAGCCACCAAGGCGCCCCTCTTTCTAGTTTCTTAACGTGAAAGTTTAGGATATCGACTTGAAATTCTTTCTTCTTTTCTAATACACATTTACACCTATAAATTTCCCTTGAAGCACTGCTTTGATTGCATCCCATAAACCTACACATGTTCTGCTTTTGCTTTCATCCATCTTAAGGTATTTCTAGTTTCTCCTGAGATTTCTTTTGGGACCTACTGATTTCGGAGTGAACTTTTAAATTTCTACATAGTTGTGAATTTCCCAACATTTCAACTGTTATTAATTCCTAATTTAATTCCATTGTGGCTGGAGAACAAACTTCGTGCGATTTCAATCCTCTTAAATTTCTCGAAGCTTGTTTTATACCCTAGCATATGGTCTATCCTGAAGAATGTTCTATGTGCCCTTGAGAAAAAATGTGTATCCTGCTGTTGTTGGGTGGTGTCTTCTTCAGATAGATCTGTTAGGTCTAACTGGCTTGCAGTGTTCCAGTATTTTACTTCCTTACTGATCTTTTGCCTAACGGTTCTGTCATTGAAGGTGGGTACCGAAGTCTCCAAGAATTATTTTGAATTGACTGCTTTCCCTTCAATTGTGTTCATTTTTTGCTCCAAATTTTGTTGTTAGAAGCATATGTATTTACAATCATTTTATCTTCTTGATATATTAAACACTTTTATCATTATAAATTTCCTTCCTGTCTCGAGTAACAGTTTTTGTCCCCTTCATATCTCTTTTGGCGCAAACTTGCCTAGCTACTCTAGCTCTGTTTATAACTCACCATGACACCTTGTTATTTTAAACTTTTGTGCGTGTCTTTCAATCTAAAGCAAATAGCACATAAGCCGATCATGTTTTTCAGTCTGTTCTGCCAGTCTCTGCCTTTGATTGGGCCATTTGCCCCATTTACATCCAATGCAATTCAATATAATTACTGAGAAGGTAAGATTCATGTCTGCCATTTTGCTATTTTCTTTCATGTCTCTTAGGTTTTTTTGTTGTTGTCTTCTATTTCTTGATTCCTATCTTCTTTTCTTTAGATAATTTCTAGTGTACCTTTTAAATTCCCTGTGTTTCATTTATAGTATTTTTTTGAATTATTTTCTTAGTGGTTGCCTTGGGGATTACAATTAGCAGCATCTTCATTTAACACAATATAGTTCAGATTTGGGGCACCTGGCTGGCTCAGTCAGAAGAACATGCGACTCTTGATCTCGGGGTCATGAGTTTGAGCCCTACATTGGGTATAGTGATTACTAAAAAAAATGGGGCCCCTGGATGGCTCAGTCGGTTAGGCATCCGACTTTGGCTCAGGTCATGATCTCACGGTTCGTGGGTCTGAGCCCTGCTTCGGGCTCTGTGCTGACAGCTCAGAGCCTGGAGCTGCTTTGGATTCTGTGTCTCCCTCTCTCTGTTCTTCCCCTGCTCGCACTCTGTCTCTCTCTCTCAAAACTAAACATTAAAAAACAGTAATAATATAGTTTGGATAAATACTAAGTTAATTTTAGTAGTGTACAAAGGCTTTGCTTCAGTACAGCTCCATTCCCTCCCACACCTTTGTACTAATATTGTCATACAAATCTCACCTCTACACGCTATAAGCCTGCCAACATAGTTTTGTAATTATTGCTTTATGCAGCTGCCTTTTGTTTATTTTTTAAACAGGCTTGAGGGTCACCTGGGTGGCTCAGTTGGCTAAGCGGCTGACTTCAGCTCAGGTCATGATCTCACAATTCCTGGGTTCAAGCCCCGCCTCAGGCTCTGTGCTGATAGCTAGCTGTTTCAGATTCTGTGTGTCTCTCTCTCTGACCCACCCCTGCTCACACTCTGTGTCTGTCTCTCTCAAAAAAAAAAAAAAAAAAAAAAAAACACACATTAAAAAAATATGGAGGGTGCCTGGGTGGCTCAGTCAGTTAAGCGTCTGACTTCGGCTCAGGTCATGATCTCACGGTTCATGGGTTCGAGCCCCACGTCGGGCTCTGTGCTGACAGCTAGCTGTTTCAGATTCTGTGTCTTCCTCTCTCTCACCCTCCCCTGCTCACACTCTGTCTCTCTCGCTCTGAAATTAAAAAAAAAATAGGCTTGAGATTTTATTTTATTTTAAAGTAGGCTCCACGCCCAAAGTGGAGTTTGAACCCACAACCCTGAGCTCTACCGACTGAGCCAGTCAGGTGCCCCTGAAATTTTATTTTATTTTTAAGTAATGTCTTTAAAAAAATTTTTTTACAGTTATTTTTAAGTAATCTCTACACCCATCACGGGGCTCAGACTCATGACCCTGAGATCAGGAGCTGGATGCTCTACTGACTAAGGCAGCCAGGCTCCTCTATGCAGTTGCCTTTTAAAGACAAAAAAAGAGTTAAAGAAAAAGAAAAGCATTACAAATAAAAATGCTTATACTGTCTTTCATAATATCTCCATAGTTACCCTTGTTGGTATTCTTTATTCTTTGTGTGCATTCAAATTACCATCTAGTGTACTTTCTTTGCAGCTTACAGGGCCCCCTGGAATATTCTATAGAGGAAGCCTGCTAACCACAAATGGTTTCTCTTTACTGGAGGAATCTTTGTTTTGGGAGAGCGCATGGTTTGGATTCATTCTCATTGAAAGCCTGCTACAGCAGGGAGAAGGTGGCTCAGTGGGCTGGTGACCTTATTCTTATGTCTTTTCTCTGGGCTTCAGTTGATTCTGGCTCCATCAACTTACTAGCTGTGTGACCTTGGGCAGGTCATGTCACGTCTCTGGGCCTTAGTTTCCTCATATATAAAATGGAGATAATAATGATACAGAGCTCCAAAGTGTTGCAGGACTCAGGACTTGTAAAGCCCTTGGAGCTGGTGTGAGCCCATAGCACTAGCTGTTGGCTCATTTGCCAAATAAAAACAACAGGGGGCTGGGTAGAGAAAGGAAGGAGCAGTGTGATGCTCTACCCACCTCCAGGGCTCTCTGTGGTTCTCTTTGATGAACATCACCTGCTTTTCCTACAAGGTACTAGGCTCATCAGAGGTGCCCCGGAAGCTGGCAGGGTCAACTACAGAACTATGGCAATGAAGGATACCCACCCCTTGGGGTGGCTGGGTGGCTCAGTCGGTTAAACATTCAACTTTGGCTCAGGTCATGATCTCATAGTCTGTGGGTTCAAGCCCCGCGTCCAGCTCTGTGCTGACAGCTCAGAACCTGGAGCCTGCTTCAGATTGTTTCCCTCTCTCTCTCTCTCTGCCCCTCCCCAACTCACACTCTGTGTCACTCTCTCTCAAAAAAAAAAAAAATACACATTAAAAATTTTTGTGGGGGGACGCCTGGGTGGCTCAATAGGTTGGGCGTCCGACTTCGGCTCAGGTCATGATCTCACAGTTTGTGGGTTTGAGCCCCGCATCAGGCTCTGTGCTGACAGCTAGCTGTTTCAGATTCTGTGTGTCTCTCTCTGACTCTCCCCTGCTCATGCTGTCTCTCTCTCTCAGAAATAAATAAAAATATTTTTAAAAATTAAAAATGATTTTTTTAAAGAAACCCATCGCATGTTATAAATTACACATGTGACTAAGACAATGGGCAAAGCCCATTCTTGTCTTCTTGGGATACTGCGGGGGCGGGGGGGACCTGGAGAGCCTGTGATGGTAGCCAGCCAGGATGCGCCCATCAGTAGCGTCTGCTGGGCAGCACTGCTGGAACATTCCGAAGATCCAGGACGAGTCCCCAAGGACACCTACGAAGCTCCCAGGAGGCAGAGGTTTGCCTCCACTCTGCCACCACCAGGTCCAGTCCCCACTGTGTCCAGTCCCCACTGCCCTCCTTCTGTGGGCTAGCCCCTCCCCCCAACCCTGCCCCTCTCTGGCCCTTTCCTCCCTCCAAATCAAGTGACACCACTGACTCGTGCCTCCAGGAAGGCCATTTATTTCCAAGATATAGACTATACTTTTAAGACAGGACTTTTCAGAAGCAGGAAATCTTAGTTGTCGCCTAGAGAGGTGTGTCAAGGACACAGTGAAAGGAGACATGCACACGTGGGGCCAGAGGCTGATCCAACACTGTTACAACACTTTTTTAAATGAGCAAAACATCTTTAAAAATCCTTATAAATTCTTTATAATATGTTACACATTTAGAGACAATATTTACAGTAAAAGAGTGGGGGAGGGAGGAGAGAGAAATCTACTTTACAGCAAATCTTTGCATAAAACAAGAGGACTGATAGACGTGGCAGTGGGGTTCACAGCCCCTCCTGGACTTCCCTGCAGTTAAGTGCGGGCGTGGGGGTGGGGGGGGCTGGTGGTCTGAGGTCTATTTACAACCTGTGGGGAGAAGAGGGGGCTGGGTCCCGCCCATCCTGAAGGAACAGCCCAGCTCAGACCCCATAAATCTGTGTGTGTGTGTGTGTGTGTGTGTGTGTGTGTGTGTAAGAGAGACACCAGGGACATTTACTACGCCCCCTCCTAAAGGGAAGGAGGTGGGGGGTCTGTGTGCCTGAATTGTGGAAGCAGCAGGCACAGCTGGAAGAACAAAGAGAGAGGCAAGGGAGATGGGGGTACCCTGGACCCTCCCAAAACTGTCTGGGGGACAGGCGGCCAGCTCCCACGGTCAACAAGCTTAGTGAGGGCGGTTTAGAGGCTGGCCAAAAGTTGGTGAGAGGAATAACCCTGGTAAGAGTCTCAGTCCCGCCTCTGTGGGGTGGCCCTGACTTGCTTCTCTGGCTCTGACAAGCAGCAGGGGCAGGATCCCTGGATGCACGGAGGGAGGGGTGGGGGGCTGCTGTATGTGGGGAGGTGCGGGAACAAGGGGCAGGAGAGGCGGAAGTTGCTACTGGAGACACCTTCTGACAGTGACTAGCACGCTCGCACACATACCCCTCCCCCCACGCACGCCACGACCCTACATCACCCCGCCCCCCACCCCCCTGCACTGGCCTCAGCGAAGAGTCAGCATCAGCCCGGGTCTTTCCTTTAGTCCGAGACTCAGGGAGGGGGGCGGTTCCCTATCCACACCCCAAGGCCAACGAGCGTCTCTAAGTGCAGACACAGAAGGGCCCACTCTGTCACAGAGCTCCTGCAGCCTGTCCCTCTCTCTCTTCCCCCTTCCTCTTACCTCCGGGGGCCCCCTCCCTCCCACTCCTGCTCCCTGTCCCGTTGGCCTGGGCAGCCCAATCCCGCACACAAACTAGAGACGCGGCCTGCAGCGCCAGATGCACGGGGGTGGGGGTGGGGCGCAAGAGGAGAGGGGTGCAAGCCAGAGAAGGCTGGAGGAGAGGGACCGGCGGGGGTGGGGGGAGGCTGGTCACAGACACTGGTGGAGGCGGGAGGCGGCGGAGCGGCGCGGGGGCTGGCTCTGCAGGGCCCCCGGGTCTCCGGGCGGCAGCGAGGCCGCGGACGACGGCGCCCGGGCCTTGGTGGACTCCAGGCTGCTGAGGCCCGAGTCCTTGTTGTCGCTGTGCGCCCGGGGCCCCACGGGCTCCGGGGCGCCGCCCCCGCCCACCTCCTTCCACTCGTTGAAGTTGAGGTCGGTCAGCGGGCTCTGCACCACCACCGTGTGGCGCCGCCAGCTGCTCCGGCGTCGCCGCGTCTCCGGCGACAGCGGCCGCCGCAGCCGCACGGCGAGCATGTCGTCGGCGGTGCCGCGGAGGCGAAGCCGCAGCGCCTCGATGCGCGACGGCCGCGATCCCAGCGCCGCCACCATCGCGGCCGCCGGGGGGCGCAGCGACTCCTGGCTGCTGGACGACGCGGAGCCCGGCGGCTCCGCAGCCCGGGAGCCGCCCCGCCCCGCGCCCGCGCCCTCGGCGTCCGGGCGGCCGCGGGACAGGCGGCGGCGCGCCAGCGTGTCGCAGGGCATGAGGCGGTGCGAGCTGAAGGAGGGCCGGCGTGCCGGGCGCCCCCCGGACCCTGCGCCGGCCTCTGTGTCCGTCTCCACGTGGCTCAGCTCGCTGCGCTCATCGTCCGCCTCGTCCCCCGCGCCCGGCCGCCGGCCCCCGGCGCCCGAGCACACGCTGCGGTCCATGGTGGACAGGGTGGAGTAGCCCGAGACGATGGAGCGCGTGTCCGCGGCCGGCCGCTCGTCCGGCGCCGCAGGGGGGCTGAAGCGCCCCGGAGCCTCGGGGGCGGCGGCGCCCGGCGGCGGCCCCTCCGGCCGGTCCCGCGCCCCCGGCGCCGGCGCCCCCGCCTCGGGCTTGTGCGCCTCCTGCTCCGAGTCGTCGTCGGTGCTGCTGCCCAGCCCCCGCGCCTCCCGCCGCTTCTTCCGCTTGCGGTTGACCGCCGAGATGAAGGAGATCGCCAGCATCTCCCGGGCATACGGCTCCTTCTTGGGGGCCCACGAGCCCTGCGCGGAAGACAGGTCAGTATGCAGGAGGCGCCCCCTCACCGTGGCACCCGGGCCGCGACACGTCCCAGTCCGGCCCTGAGTCCCCCGCCTCCCACCCCCGCCCGCCCCACCCGTCGGCATCCTAAGCCCTTCCTCCCTGATGGCTGTCCCAGCGGGAGCGTCATTACCCGGCCAGGCGCGGTTCCCCTCAATCCCGCAGCCCCCTCTCTGCTCTCAGCCCAGACTCGGGGCTCTTTCCCCTGAGCTTCAGTCTGGTCCCTCACCTCCGTCCCAACTTCCACTCCATTCCCAAGCCCAGAGCTGGATAAATCCTTGCAGACACAGCTCTGGTGATAATAGTCTCTCAACAGTGATTGCCCTTGACAGTTTGAACCCATTTTATATGTACCACCCCGGGTTATAACCACCAGAGCCTGGCGGGGACCTCCCTCCCACACTGGCTTCTGTCCCCTGCATCTCCGCTCCCTCCCACTTGGGAAACCTGCCTTTCCACCCAGGCGGTACCTATCGGCTTCTCCAGGGCAACCGGCCCAAGTTTGCTTCCCTTTCCCACTACAGCCCAAAGCCTGGCATTTCAGCCACCCCACCGGTGCCCCCACCCACAGTCCCCCCAACCCCACATCAGTCCAGCCAGCTCTGCTGCCAGGAGTGGCTACAGGGTTCTGAACAATCTGATGGTTTGGATTGAAGGCGCCTCCCAAACTGTGATTTCCAACCCGCAGGCTGGGCAACTTCCTGCCGCACTGTCACTGCTAAATCCTGCGGGTGTTTTCTGACCCTGCCCTGCCCTGATGCCCCAGCATAGCCCATGCTGCCCACCATGGGCCAACACCAAACTATCTCTTGAGCTCCAGAACTCTTCTCCCAGCGGCAAATCCATCTCCAGCAAAGCGTCTGCAGGCACCTGAAACTCACCTATCTGCAACTCCACTGTGCTCCCCGCGCCTGCCCCAAACTACCTGCATTCATGTTCCCCACCTTAAGGTGGTTCCCTATCGCCGCCTCCTCCCCTGCTTCTCAGTTTTCCTGCTGTGACTCCCAAAGTCAGCTCATCCCCACCATCCTCTGTCCAGGCCCTTGCTCTGCCTTTTCTGGGCCTTTCTGCCATCTCCTGACTCCCTGCCTCCATCCTTGCCTTACTTAGTCCTTCCTTCTCTAGAGCAATCCGTCCTTCTAAGGCAGGGCAGGAATGTGATTGCCTCCTGATTCTGCAGGGCCCCCCACCCCCACCAGGAAGAAGCCCAGACGCAGGGCCCCGCACAACCTGGTACCCGCTTTGCCAGCCTAATGCCCTCCTTACCCTAACCCCAGCCCCAACACAGCCTTCACTCTGGCGATGCCCACCTGCCACACCGACTTGCCCTTAGCCACCACCGCCCCCTCCCCCCACCCGCCTATGTGATGTACCAGCTCTCAGTCCTCTTCTCAGGCCCAGCTCAAATACGGCGTCCTCCGGACAGCCACCTCTCAGCCCTCCCATGGCCCTTTGAAAACACATCCACACCTGCTCTTCACCCATCAGAACAGCTGTTTCCACATCATCTGTAGCACGGTCAGAGTTCCTTGACAGCAAGGCCTGTGGCCCATTTGTGTTTGTATCCACGACTCCTAGTGCAGCGCCCGGCACATAACAGGGGCTCAGTAAATGTTAAGTGAATGGGGGCGCCTGCGTGGCTCAGTCTGTTGAGCGTCCGACTCTTGATTTCGGCTCAGGGCATGATCTCACTATGTAGGAGTTCAAGCCCCGCTTCAGGCTCTGCACGGACAGTACAGAGCCTGCTTAGGATTCTCTCTTTCCCTCTCTCGCTCTACCCAACCCCCCCATCCCCCCATCACATACATGCATACATAAATGTTAAATGGATGGACAAATGGGTGAATGCAGTCTCCTCAACACAGGAGGCCTCGCAGAAGCACAGGCTGAAACTAGTCCCCCTGCTGGGCTGGAATGACCTGCCCTGTGACCCCGTCTCGCAGGTGTTCCTGTTTCAGCCACGGTGTGATAATGAGTGAAGACACAGAGATGCCTCATGTGGCCCCCGCATCCCATGTACCCTCTCTCACAGCGGCTAGCTCTGAGACAGCTGATGCATGTCAGGGAGGCAGGATTCATAAGCCTGCAGCTCCGGGGCCTTGGCTGTCAGCGCGGCCCGGCTCCAGAAGGCAATCCCTGGGGCTGTGCCATAGGGCAGTTCTGCTGTGACCAACCCGAGGCCCAGAGCAGCCAGTGCCACTCTCTTTTCTGGCCAGTGCTCTCCGAGGCGCTTGAGGGGCCACTAGGACCCTCTGATCAAATTATCTGCTCGTCCCAGCTAGCAGAAGCAGAGTGGTCACAATGGTCACTTCCCGGAACGCAGAGATCAGTACACCCACATAAAGGACCAGGAGAGGCTACGGGAAACCGGGGGGCTGGCAGGAGCGATGGGTGGAAGGAACAAGGAGCTAGGTTCGGGTCACTATAATGAACTTGCTCCCGGGCACAGCCATCTTACGATGGAGTGAGCTCCCCGTCCCCACAGGCACACTATGTGTCCGGCGCACTGGGCTCACTGGGACCTGGCCAGTGCTTAGAGACCCAGGCGGAAATGAGTGTCCAGTTCAATCACCAAAGTTTAGTGATTTCACCCACTGCTATGGACAGACTTGTGCCCCCTCCCCAAACTCATATGCTGAAGCCCTACTCCGCAATGGGATAGTATTTGGAGATGGGGCCTTTGGGTGGTAATGAGGCCATGCCCTTATGGTGGCATTAGTGCTATTATTAAAAGGGCACTATTACAATCTCCCTCTCTTTGCTATATGAGGACACAGCAAGAAGGCGGCCATCTAGAAGACAGAAAGAGCTCTCACCAGAAACCGACGGTGCTGACACCTTGATCTTGGACATCTAGCCCCAAGAACCGTGAGAAAATGGGGTGCCCCAGTGGCTCAGTTGGTTAAGCGTCCGACTTGGGCTCAGGACACAATTTCGCAATTCATAAGTTCGAACCCCGCCTTGAGCTCTATGCTGACAGCTCAGAGCCTGGAGCCTGCCTCCGATTCTGTGTCTCCCTCTCTCTGCCCCTCTCCCGCTCATATTCTGTTGCTCTCTCTCTCTAAAGTATATAGACATAATAATAATAATAATATAGGGGCGCCTGGGTGGCTTAGTCGGTTAAGCGTCCGACTTTCACTTAGGTCATGATCTCGCGGTTCATGGGTTCGGGCCCCGCGTCGGGCTCTGTGCTGACTGCCAGCTAGGAGCCTGGAGCCTGTTCGGTCTGTGACTCCCTCTCTCTCTGACCCTCCCCTGCTCACGCTCTCTCTCTCTCTCTCCTAGAAATAAATAAAACATTTAAAAAAATAATAATAATATAAAGGACTGTGAGAAAATAAATTTCTGTTGTTCAAGCCATCCAGTCTGTGGCATTTTGTTACGGCAGCCAGATCTGACTAAGACACAAACCCCCTCGGCCATCAAGCTCTACATCCTCACCTAAAGCTTCTGTGTCAGAGGGCAAGCCCTGGAGGGTGACTAGAGGGCTGGCTGTGAGAGCTGGTTCAAAAAGACCAGCTTTGGGTTCACTGCTTTTCTCAACTGTTTTCAATTTCATTGCTTTATCCTCTTATCTTTGTGATTTCCTTCTGCTCTGCTTGCTATGGGCTCTCCAAGAAGAATAGTAATTATAGCACACATATTTGTAACGGGATTAATATTACGCATCATTGACAGGTGAGGAAGCCAAGGGTCAGAAAAAGGTTGAACAAGGGGCTCCTGGGTGGCTCAGTCGGTTGAGCGTCTGACTTCGGCTCAGGTCATGATCTCACGGTCCGGTCCATGGGTTTGAGCCCCACGTCGGGCTTTGTGCTGACAGCTCAGAGCCTGGAGCCTGCTTCGGATTCTGTGTCCCCCCACCCCTCTGCCCCTCCCCTGCTCATGCTCTGTCTCTCAAAAATGAATAAATGTTAAAAAAAATTTTTTTTTAAAGAAAAAGGTTGAACAACTTGCCTGATATCCTGAAGCTTTAGTGGTGGAGCCAGGACTTAGACCCAGGACTGTCTGCGCTGCCTTTTTCTTTTTTTAATTTTTAAATAATTTATTCTTAGAGAGGAGGGGGAGGGGCAGAGAGAGAGAGAGATGAAGACAGAGAGACACCCAAGCAGACTCCATGTTGTCAGCGTGGAACCCAACACGGGCCTTGATCACATGAACCGTGAGATCATGACTTGAGCTGAAATCAAGAGTCGGACACTTAACCGACTGAGCCACCCAGGCGTGCGGCCTGTGTGCTTCTAACCACTGGGAACACTGCCCCCCTGGCCACCTAACTCCCAAGCCGGATCCTTCTGTTCCACGAGATGCCTCACTCAGTACGGCCAAGGTGAGCAACTTCTCCCCTTACCTCATACACACAGTACCTCCTACCTTCCTCCCCAGTGACCAGCAACTTCCTCAGTGTCTGGGGGCACTCTTCCCAATTCCCTTGACCAAAATCAAAAAGCGAGATGGCTTAAACAGGGATAAAGCCTTCAGAATTGCTTTGGCACTTACCTTGGACTTGGCTGAACTGCAGGTGGTGGAATCTGTCGGTGAGAGAAATACAAATGAAAGTTAACTTGGGGCAGGAGAAGGCTGCCTTGCGAACACAATTCCCTCTCCCTGGAGGCTGCAGACACCAGGGAGGTCAGACACCTGAGCTCTCCCCAGGTCCTGGGAATGTGATGGGTTTCTAATGTCATTTGCCGTGGGACAAGGATGGAGCAGATACTGATGGCAGTCACCACTTCCTTTCGAGGCAGGAAGTGACATAAGGCTGCCAGTCCTAAGAGCCTCATTTGCCAGGGTCAAGGGCAAGGAGGGCTTCTCTTTGGGCCTAGCTCCTCTCCCCTCCCCTCCCGTCCCTGTTCCTCTGAAGCACTAGGGAGAAAATGCCAAATGTCAGGTGCAATCCACAGAAACCACAATGAAACACAGCAAATCACAGATGCTCTGGAGAAATGGAGACCACACGGTGCATAGACATGTGGATGCCCTACATCTACCCTCACCACCACCCCCCTCCCACTTCCAGAACAGGAGAAAGAAGAGGGACCCTGTGAATGATGGAGTAGAGGGGCAGACACCGAGTGGGTGGGACCCAGGAGGCAGAGTGGGCTGGTGATTAGGGCCTCGATAGGCTCCACCCTCAGGCTCCACATCAATCTGCCTTATGGGGCAAGGCCCTGTTTATTACCGGAGTTACGAAGAAGAGTAAAATCATGACATCAGTGGGACTTGGGTCCCACTCTTAAAGATCATTGGGGTGATCACCCCAAATCCTGGCTGTGTCTTCTCCAGGACTGGGGAGGGAATGGGCTGATCTAAGGACCCCCCGGGGTCTGACGGGGGCAGTGGGCAGGCACGGTTAATCCACACTCTGGCAAGCAAGTGAGTCCTCCTCCCCAGCCCTCCCCTGCACACAGTGAGAGGAGCAGATGGCCGACCACACAGTGACACACATGAGGCAGGGGAGTGGCAGCAGGTGATTAGAAGAAACGGGGGGCTCCTCTCTTCCATCCCCACCCACCTTGTCCTCTGGCTCCCTCCTCAGCCTGCCCATTGCCACTAGGGGTGTTGTGCTATGCCTCTGTCGGAGACAGGGGCAGTCAGAATACTAAGGGTGGCTCACCCACAGGGCGGGGGAAGTCAGTGCCCGGAGCCAAGGGGGTGCTGTTCTGGGCTACTCTGCTATAAGTGTCCACGGCCCCGAAACAGGACTTAGGGGCTGAGTGACCAGGGGCTCTGGTTTCAGAAGCAGGACAAGTCCGCCCTCGGAGCCAACCAAGGCAGGAGCCACAGTTAGAGGCTTCTAAGGGTGACATCACTGGTGTACAGACAGGCAGGGTCCCCCTACCAGCCAGGCCTCCTGCTGTCCAGGTAACTAGAAGTGACCGGGTTCAGGGCAGAGAATAGCCCAGAGTCTGGGCACTGGGGTGGGGCTGAGGGGGCAGCCATGGGGTGCCCAGACTTCCCGGCAAGGGGGTAGGATCCAGCTCCGACAAATGCCTCCTTCCTTCTGAGAAGGGGCTTTCAGACGGGAGGGCTGGGGTGGGGGTGAGTTGCTAACAAGCGTGGGTAGCCGGTATGTCAAGGGAGAGGTGCTCACAGCCCGGGACCTTTCTACCTGCCCCTCGGGCCTGCCCAGCCTTCTTATAATCACCCGCCACTGTTAGTGACCGAGGCCGCAAATGCCACACTGTACCCTTTAAATCTCCAACAGGTCCGCTGGAGGAGGGGAAGGGGAGAAGAGGCGGGAGGAGAGCACAGGGAGAAGAGAGAGGAGGGCGGAGGGGTGCAAGGAGAAAAGGAAGAAAAATTAAAAAGAGGTACCTGCCCAGAAGGACACAGCCCATGAGAAATAAAAAGCTCAGGAAGGAAACCAGTGAAGGAGGGCGAACAAAGCCCCTACCCAGCCCGGGGGAGGGGCAGCTCAGCAGACAAGGAGGCGGGCCCATAGGCAAGCCAGACCTCCCCAAAGGGGTGCAGGTCCCGCCAGAGCCCGGGGCTCCGTGGTGGGGGCAGGGAAGGGCCCTGCGGGGGCAGAGCAGGGAAGTTGGGCCTCTGGCCGGGCATCTGGGACCCTTGGGAATGTGAATCCCACCCCCCGCTCCCACCCCTACCCAAGTCCCTGCACTCACCTGAACCTGGGTCACCAGGGGGCACTGTCCTGCCAATGTTAGGCAGGAGGTACTCAATGTTGGGCACTGATTGAGGCTCCTTGTCATCCACAGGGGTCTGCAAACAGGAGGAGGGTCAGCCAGTGTGCCCTCAGATGGCTAGACTGTGGATCCCGCAAAACGGGGTAACCTGAGGCAGGACTCATGACTCCTCCATCAGATTGGGGCTCACCAACTGTCTCTCTCATCACTCTTGAAGGCAGGTCCTATACGTTCCCCAATAGACTGTTCTGTGCCTTCTCCAACACCTTGACTGAACCCCAAAGGCCAGAACTGCTCCTCAGCTAAAGGCAGGAGCTGTGTCTCCACCATCAGACTGATCTTCCTAAGACCTATAGCCTCCACATAAGACTGGAGGGTGGGGTCTGCCTTTGCTTCTGGACTCAGTTCCCTTAGGGTAAGGCTGATACCTCCCCCCCCAAGACTGGCGGCTCATGAAGGCAAGGATTGCGTCTCCCATTAGATTGAAGGCTCCTGAGAAGAGAGCTTATGTTTCCTCCATCAGACTGGGAAGCCCCAAGGGCAGGAACCTTCCCCTGGTTGAGTCTTACTGCCTGCCCCCTCCAGGCCCACCTCAGACCAGACCCACCTCGCCCTCCCCCTGCAGCACTTACTCTCTCTCCCTTGTCCTCGTCATCGCTGAAGAACCAGTCTGACTGCAGAGGAGACAAAAGGAAGTGGTGAACTCAGCGTGGGAAGGGGCTGAGGGAAGATGGAGGCACAGGCTCCGGAGCTGCACAGTCCAGGGGACTCCACTCAGACGCCATATGGAATGGGGGCAGGAGAAGGGCCTTCTCAACAGCCCCCAGGCTGGCCTGGTCACTAGATGTTCCCAAGGGAGGTGGATGGGCCCCAGGACCCAGCCCCACAGACTCTGAGGAACCCTTGGGGAGAGAAAAGGATGGACCCCAGTGTGGGAGGGAAATGCAGCCTGGAATGGGAAGGGCTGAGGATTGATGGAGGGCCGGCTCAGGGAGAGCCTCTCCGCCTGTTTTTCACTAGACATTGTCCAGAACACATCTCTGGGGCTCACGCCCAACCGCAAGCCAGAAGCGGGGACAGCAGCGCCATCTAGTGCAGGCTGGGTCCACTGCAGAGAGAAGGCCCCCATCTGTTGCCGCAGCCAGAGCTGTGTACCCCTCACCAGCCCCGGGCACCACACTAGCCACTGGGGTGGCACTCCCTCCCCCAGCCAGAAAAAGGAAGTGCCAGGAGGAAATGTTAGAGGTTCCCTGAGGGGCAGGCAGGCAAGGGTTTTCACACAAATGCCAAACAGGCTAGAAAATAAAGTAAAAACCCTGCTTTTTTTTTTTTTAATGTTTTTAAAATTTACTTCTAGGAGAGAGAGAAAGAGAGACAGCGTGAGCAGGGGAGGGTCAGAGAGAGAGGGAGTCACAGACTGAAACAGGCTCCAGGCTCTGAGCTGGCTGTCAGCACAGAGCCCAACGCGGGGCCCGAACCCACGAACCGTGAGATCATGACCTAAGCAAAAGTCGGACGCTTAACCGACTAAGCCACCCAGGCGCCCCAAAACCCCGCTCTTAAGTATGTGTTGTGAAATGTAAGAATCTTGAAGATAAAATCCTAAAAGTTTTCTGAAAAACAGAAACAGGTTGCTTACAAACGAGCAAGTATTAGCTGTAACTAGAACTTTCGGCAGCAACAGATGCAAGAAGGTAAATAATATTTTCCTGTATTGCTGGACTAAGAACACAGGGATTTTGAGCCTAGGATTTTATACCCTGCTAAACTCTCAGTTGGGTGTGAACTAAAACTACTCGAAGACATCAGAAAGCTTGCTGCACAAAGACTCTCTTAACTGTGTATATGAGCACATAAAGAAACGACTCCAGGGGCACCTGGGTGGTTCGGTTGGTTGAGCGCCCAACTTCGGCTCAGGTCATGATCTCGTGGTTCATGGGTTCGAACCCTGCGTCGGGCTCTGTGCTGACAGCTCAGAGCCTGGAACCTGCTTCAGATTCTGTGTCTCCCTCTCTCTCTGCCCCTCCCCCACTCCCATTCTGTCTCTCTCTCTCTCTCAAAAATGAATCAATATTTAAAAAAAAAAAAAAAACTTAAAAAAAGAAGAAGAAGAAAGAAATGACTCCAGGGTGGAATGACAAGCTCTGAGAGGTAAGGATGCACGTCCATCAACCCAAGCAAGGATACTCATATGCATATACGAACACACACAAAGTACATCCATGACACCGTGGATTTCGAACACAGAGGAGAAACTGGTGATAGGTGAGAGTACGCTAAGGCACTTCGCTTTTAGATGTGGTGGAGGGAAGACAATGGATATTGATGAGCTTTAGAGATTATCAGTGAAAGTGAAACAAAAGTATAGGCTATTATAACTGTATAATTAAACACAGGATGGGCTTTATAAATTGTGTAATTTTTTAAAATTTATTTTGAGAGAGCAAGAGAGAGTGTGGGAGGGGCAGAGAGAGGGAGAGACAGAATCCCAAGCAGGCTCCACACGCTGAAAGCACAGAGCCTGACTCAGGGCTTTAACTCACGAACTGTGAGATCATGACTTGAGCTGAGAAGGAGCTGGATGCTTAACCCACTAGCCACCCAGGCACCCCGAAATTATGTAATTTTCGTATCAAAAAAACAAAAATCAATCCAGCCAAAGCAAGGTCGGACAGATGGAAAAGAAGTAAAATCAAAATGGGATAAACAAAAAAATGACACTTAAGATGGCAGAGATAGGTCTTAATAACACAGAAGTTAGAATCAATGACCTAAGCTCACTGATTGAAAGTTAAAACACATAGAATATTAGTAGCGCCTGGCTGGCTCAGCCGGTAGAGTATGCGATTCGATCTAGGGCTCATGAGTTTGAGCCCCACATTGGGCAGAGAGGTTACTTTTAAAAAATACTGTTTGTTTAAGAATAAATAAATACAATAAGACAGGGAATGTGGATTGAAAGGATACGTATTCATCAGTCAACGTGGGAAATTATGGCGCGGGTAAAGTGGGGTCAAGAATGAAGGGGTAACAAGGAGACTTGCAGGTTGATCATGACCATGTGCCATGAACCTCAGTTATTCATCACAATCGGGCACATTATTAACTAATAAGCGGCACAAGAGAGAAACAAGAAAGAGAAGGAAGGATAAGAAATAATGCAAAATCAAAAGTCGGTCTTCTTGGGCTCAAGTTCACCTCAGGGAAATGACTTCCCCGAGTCTCTTTACTAATCTGTAAAATGGGCATAACAGGAGTACCTACTTCTGAAATTGTGGTGAGAAGGAAAACGAAATCCTCTATGGCTGTTATAAGATGTTGATGAGGATGTGGGGGAAAAGGGAACCCTCACACACTGTTGGTGGGAATGTAAATTGGCACAGCCACTATGGAAACTGGCATGGAGGTTCCTCAAAAAAACTGAAAATGGATCTCCCCTATGATCCAGGAGGGTCTGGGTGGCTCGGTCAGTTAAACATCTGACTCTTGACCTCTGGTCAGGTCATGACCTCACGGTTCATGGGTTCGTGTCCCGAGTCGGTCTCTGCACTGACAGCATGGAGTTTACTTGGGATTCTCCCTCTCCACCTCTCTCTGTCCCTCCCCTACTTGTACTTTCTCTCTTTCTCAAATTCCCTGTGCCTGGAATGCTTTCTCCCTTCTCTGACTGGCTAAATTCGCCCCTGACAACGCTCCCAGCCCTACACCTGGGGCAGGGTTAGGTCCTTCCATGGGCCTTCTGGCCGTAGCCCAGAGAATGAAGAAATGACATCTTCACTGGGGCACTGCTCCTTCAGAGCAGGGCCTGGGTTCAAGTCCCCTCCACGTCTGAGCACCGGGCACAGAATAATGCCGACGCGGCCGATCACGGTGGCTGCTCATTCACACAACACTTCTTACCTGCTAAGTGGCGTTTTAAGTTCTTCTTAGACATTAACTCATGTAACCTTCACAATATGTAAGGGTAAGCATTATTATTATTTTTTTTCAAATGTTTTTATTTATTTCTGAGAGAGTGACAGCGTGAGCAGGGGAGGGTCAGAGAGAGAGGGAGACACAGAATCCGAAGCAGGTTCCAGGCTCTAAGCTAGCTGTCAGCACAGAGCCTGGATGCGGGGCTCGAATCCACGAACTGTGAGATCATGACCTGAGCCAAAGTCAGACACCTAACTGACTGAGACACCCAAGCACCCCAGGTAAGCATTATTATCTCCACTTTACAGATGAGGAAACTGAGGCACAAAGAGGGCAAGTGCCTTATTCAAGGCCACACAGCATGTAAGGAGCAGAGCCAGAGTTGAACTTCAGGCAGGTTGGCTCTGGAGTCCAGGTGCTACCTCAGTGGTTCTCAACCATGGGGACGCTGCCACCCCCACCCCCGCCCCCCGGGGGCATTTGGCGAAGTTTGCAGACACCTTCAGCTGTCACACTGGAGGGATGACCCAGCGATGTTGCTAACCATCCTGCGATACACAGGACAGCCCCCCCCCCACAAAGAATCACCTGGCCCCAGAGGTCACTAGTGCTAAGGCTGAGAAACCCCAGTGCACACAGCGTGAGAATCACGTTTGAACAAATCCCCTGACATGGCCTTTGGGTTTCAGCTGACTTAGTAAACGTGGGTGCGAGCTGATTGGTGACACCTGGGCCTGCCCACCTCCATTCTGCCGCGATGGTGCTGAGTGACCCTCTTCACACATCACTTTTCACCCTCCGAACGATGCAAGGACGGGTCTGGGGGCCTTAAGGCCCCTCCCAGCTCTGCTGTCCAAGAGTTCTGCCAGGAGCGCCAGACAGGGAGGCCAGGTGATGGCCGCAAAACCACCCCCGACCTTCAACCATCCACTAACTGGCCAGGGGCTCAGGGCCAGAGTTAGAGAAGTCTCTGCCAGAGTCCAATACCGCCTAGGCTTGTGACTACCCCAGTCCGTGGCTGTACAATCTCGTGATCAGACGCTGGCAAACTTGGGTGGGTGGACTCGAGGGGACTGCACGGCGGTAGCTCCTTCCCTTGACAACTGTCCAGGCTGGTTATGTTCAAGTGCCAATGAGGCGGCAAACGGAGAGTCGCCGGCTCAGTTAGTTCCCGGGAATGAATCCCTGGGTGGGAAAGCCCTGAATGGTATAACCTCAAGAGCAATTGATTGATTGATTGATTGATTCATTCATTAAACTCGGAGTGTTCCCTACGTGCCAGGCACTAGGCTGGACGCTGAGAGTACTCCTGTGAAGAAGACAGATATGTCCCCCCCGCCCCCGCCACCAGCACCCTACCCAGAAGAGGGGCTGCCATTGGCTGGAGACTCCCTCTTGGGGGTCAAGGAGAAGGTAAGTGGACACACTTTGGGCTTCCCTTCTCCCTGAAGACTGCTATTCCTGACATCCCAACTGACCACAGGCCTCAGGCTTCTGGGGACTTCTCCAGGAGCCATGGGGCCCGTCTCCCTTTCTTCCACACCAGCACCCTCCCAAAGCACACACTCAGGGGCTCCAGGGGCTACCTGTTAGATTGGGGAGCTGAACTTTTCCAAGGGAGATTTCCCAGACTAAGGCCTCGTCAGGGTCCCTGAGCCTGCCCGGCAACCTTGCGGGCAAGGCCAGTCAGCATGACCAAAGTCTACCCCATTGCCTCACTTCACTGACCCTGGCCAGCCACGCCAGCTCTAGGATGGACCCAGGAGTCTGGCCTCCCAGTAGGGGCAGAGGAGAGCACAAACTTTGGTCAGACAAAGCTGGCTTACAATCCTGGGGCTGCCTCGTTATTAGCTGTGACTTTGAGCAAGTCACTTTACTTCTCTGAGCACCGGTTTCCTCATCTGTAAAATGGGAATCACATGACCCGGTTTCCCTTCCCTAAAGTGTCTGTGAGGCTGCAGAAGCTGAGGACCCCATTCCCCTGGCCAGCTGCCAATCTTATTTCTCCTGGCAGGAGGGGGTCTGGTTCTATCCACAAGCAGATTTGGAAATGGGAAATCTATGATTTTTTTTTTCTTGAAAGCTTACGATTTATAAAAACATCCCTCAGTGCCCCAGAAGGGGGCAGTGACGCCCTGAGTTTGGCTCCAGAGGACCAAGGCCTCCTGCGCCCTCTGCTGGCCGCTCTAGGTACTCATCCCATCACGAACAATAACCAGAATCCTCACAGACACCACAGGGCTTTTGGTGTCTCCAGGAAGCCCTGAGAAGGGGGGAGACCAGCCCAAGACACGCGGAGGACAAGCGCAGCCTCCTGCCTCAGCCCTTGCTCCACCTGCCTCATCTACCTCCCCTCCCCGGGCATCATCTGCTCCCCCAAGCCTCAGTGGGGCCGCCAAGGCACAGCTCTGCCCCAGCTCCCTACACCTGTCTGCCTGTTTCTACCAGGATGCTTCTCCTGGGGCCCCCTTCTGAATGTGCCCCTGCACTCCCCCCTTGGCTGTCCAACCCAGCAGCACTTTCCCTGACCTTCCTCTGCCCTCTGACCCTCACACATCTTAGAAGTTCCGGGGCTTCCTGACTCTCCTAGAAACATCCTAGAAAGACAGGGATTCTAAGATCCATTCCTGTTTGGTCTGGAAACGCAGCCCATCACTTCTGAAGGGCATTTGCCATCCCAGGAGCATTTGCTGAAGCTGCTTCCTCCTCCACTAAGCGCATCTGCCCAGGCGAGCAGGAGTGAGATGCCCAGGGGGACAGGGCCTCAGCCCGGGGTGGCTGCTTACGTGCTGGATCAGCGTCTCCACGATCTTATAGCGATCAGGCATGTGGGTCACCATGTCCGCCATGTTGTCCTCCGACGTCCTCACCAGCGTCGGCCCGAAGACCAGGGCCAGGTTCCTGGGCTCCATCTGGGCAAGAGAGGAAGGCAGGTCAGCATCAACACCCCATGAGCTCTGACCTCCAGTCCCCCAGGCCTCCCTCACCCTGGGCCCCCCAGGCCCAAGGCCCATCCAGAGCTATGCCTGGTTTAGGGGATGGACACCTCCTTGCTGGGCATGGAAATGTCTGGTAAGTAGAGCACAGGCCAGATTTCAGCCTCGTTCATCCCCAGGCCGGGCAGCCAAGGGCAGTGCCCGACCTGCTCACCCATGCTGTGCTAACAGTGAGAGATGCCAGAACAAGGACCTGCTGGCAGTTCTAAGGGTATTTTAAAACTGGGAGAATTTCTATAGCTCCATTCATTTTTTTCCCCGCCGCAGAACCAGAAGACACAGAGGTCTGATTAGAGAAATGCAACATGGCGTGCGTGACTGGCTCATTCTGTAGAGTGAGCAACCCTTGATTTTGGGGTTATGAGTTCGAGCCCCATGTTGGGTGTAGACATTATTTAAAATAAAACATTTTTTAAAAAGGAAAAAAGAAAAAAAAATTCATTGAAAGGGATGTGAGCTAAATCCGAGGATAGATTTCTATCAGACACAGAGGGACTGTGGTTCTGCCTTCAGGAGACCCTCAGAAACTCAGGAGATGGCTCTCTGGGGAAGAAGTACTTACTGGCTGGCTTGGAAGGGTGGGGTGGAGACAGAATGAGCTTTAAGGAGGAGGGCGTGCCTAGAGGGCCTTGGGATTATCTGACCTGGAAGAGCCTAGAATATGCTGAAAGGACCCTACACACCTCCTTCCCCCACACTCCAGGCCAAGAGTCCCCCCACCTTGTTTTTCTCCGAGTGGTCGGCAATGGTCTTCAGATGGCCCACGAGGAATTTGAGTGTCTCATAGTAGTGCCCTGGGAGATCCCGGATCTGGACGGGAGCAAGAAGGGCCATGGTGCTGTGATGGCCTCCCCACCTCCCCACCACACCCCACAGGGGCTCCCACTGCCCGACCTCCGGGATCTGGAAACCACCCTCCAGCCAGCCCACCTTGGACAGATGGAGAAACCAAGGCCCAGAGTGGAGAAGGGCTTCTCCAAGGTCACAGAGGGGCACCTCTCTTTCCTTACCAGCTTCCGGAGTGTCTTCATCCGCTCCCTCGAGTCTTCAATGCGATTGGCCTCGATGAAGTCGTTGTATTTGTCTAGAACACAGTGAAGGCTCTTTAGAGAGGTGGGAGGCAATCCCTTCTCCCAACTTCAGGGTGCTTCCAAGCCGAGGCGGCCCAGGTTGCTCAAGTTGGGGGGGGGGGGGCCGCTCCGCAGCCTTGCATCTATGTGACCAAACCCACTACAGCTGTACTTGGGGCCGCACCCGGCCGGGGGCAGCGCGGCTATGTTTGGGAAGAAATAAGACCTGAGCCGCATGTGGATACTGGAAAAGAGGTCCTCGCCCCAGGCTCCAGGACAAGGACACCTCAAGGTCAGAAGAGGTTACCTAGAAAGAGGGAGGGGCTCTTTCAGCCTCCAGATGCCCACCCCACATGTGTCAAAATGCCCCCCAACTCCCTTGTGAAGAAATGCATGGGGAACTTGGAACAGGGTAAGTTTATTCTCAAACTCATCTGATGAGTAGACATGTAAGGATAGCTGAGAATATTGTGTAAAGGAAGAATCACAACTCGCCCTATCCGATCCTGAAATGTACTAAAAAGACAGCATGGCCAAGCAGCATGGGCCTCACAGAGGAGGCTGACCAAGGACAAGGACACGGAAAGGCGAGGAACAGGCCACGTGGATCTTAACTATGTGATAAAGGCAGTATTTCAAATCCGTGGGGAAGGATGGAGGTGTCCATAAATGTCCCTGGGACGATTAGCTATCTTGTTGGGGGAACAAAAATCCACTTCCAGCTCACATAATACACAAACACGTGTAATTGCACTATAGAGCCAAATGTAAGTTACTAAAATATCGAGAAAACCAAGAAACTATTGTTACAATCATAAAAGCCTTCCTAAACATGAGATGCAGAATCCATTAAAGATTAACTGCCTTGACTACACTTGTCTTCAATTTCTTCCCTGAACAGTTAATAGACAAATGGCAGACCAAGAGCGAATCTCTGCAAAAATTAACAAAGGATTAACGCCCATAACATACAAGAGCTTGTCTCGTACAAATCAATACCAAAAGAGACAAACAGCCCAATCGGAAAATGGGCACGCAGTCTGAACAGGAAATGAGTGGAAAACAGAAAAGGCCAATAAACTAATGAAAAGATAGTTCACTTCCCTAATAATGAAAGAAATGAAGATGAAAACAGTAATGGAATGACATTGCCCTCATCCAATTAACAGAAGTCTAAGATGTTGATAACATCTACGGTAGATGGGGGCGTCTGGAAACCAATTCTCTCCTAGGCTGTTGGTAAGAGTATCAAGTAGGGCCTTCTTCTCAGAGGGTAACTTGACATTGGCTTTCAAAAACGTTGACCAGGACTCTGACCTAGAAATTCTACTGTCTAGGAACCCACCTTCAGGACACCGACCCAGGCATGTAGGGACACATTCAAGGAAAGTCATTGCAGCATGTTTTGCAAGAGCAGAAATTTGAATACAACCTAAATATCCATCAATAGGGGAGTGATTAGGCAAATTATAGTCTTTTCAGACTATGAACTATCAGGTGGTTTGCTTTAAAAGAATCAGGTAGAGCTCTTTGTACAGACATGAATGAATCTCAGAATGACAAGCCTCCTTTTGTTAAGAACAACCCCGCACACGCCGGCTCCTGGGGGCCGAAGGTGTTCATCTCTTCCTGACTCCATGTTGGTGGCAGCTTAGGTAGCTTGAAACAGGGCATGGTGGGAGTAATTGTACCATGGAGACTAGAAAACACTACAGATCAAGGCTTTTTCCCTTGAGAGCCTGATGTCAAACGTTTGCCCGCATGCCAGTGAGCTCGCCCAGCCTAGACCCTATGTGTGCACGTATGTCTCCATCGTGTGTGTACGAAGGTCTGGGAAACAAGCAGCTCAGCAAACGGTCAAGAGCTGGGCTCTGGGGCCAGATACCTGGGGCCAAATCCTGGCTCGGACACTGACAATGCGTGTGACCTTGGGCAAAAGATTTAACCTGTTTCCTCATCTGTCCAGTGGAGATAATAGTACCTTCATGGAGTTGCTGTAGGGAGCGGTGCTTGGCATGTAGTCAATGCTCAGGAAGTGTTAGGATCACCTCCAGGGATAGGAACCAGGAGGGTGACAGGGACCTTTGGGTTTTATTTGCATCTTTACTAAGTTGGTTATATGCACGTGTTTCTCTTATATTAAAACAAAAACCCAGGGCGCCTGGGTGGCTCGGGGAGTTAAGCCTCAACTTTGGCTCAGGTCATGATCTCGCGGTTTGTGAGTTCGAGCCCTGTGTTGGGCTCTGTGCTATCAGCTCGGAGCCTGGAGACTGCTTCAGATTCTGTGTCTCCCTCTCTCTCTGCCTTTCCCCTGCTCACATTCTGTCTCTCTCTCTCTCTCTCTCAAAAAATAAACATTAAAAAAAAAAATCCCAAAGAGTAAAGCCAACAAACCCAACAAAACAAAGTGGTCAGAGTGCAGCATGGACAGGTGTCCCTCCTCCTCCTGTCCCCCACTTCCGCCCCCTACTCACCATCGGTGAAAAGAGGCTCAGGCAGTTTTCGGAAGAAGGACTTAAGCAGGCTGCTGATCACATTGAGGTCCTGCCAGCGCTGGGGAGAGAGCAAAGACATCAGGTCCCAGGCAGGCCCAGCGGGATGCCAAACCCCCATCCCCCCAGGCACCCACGCCTCCACACTAGCCCAGCCCGGCCAGGCCCTGGGGGTGGGGGTACACCCACACTACGCTCTGCCCAGACCAGGGATCTCTGGGCTAAGAAGACTCATCAGGGTGGTGGCAGAACAGCGCCCAGCTAGGTCCTGGCCCCCTGACCAACGGGCCCCGACCCCTCCCTGCTCCAGCAAGCCCAGTGAGCTTCAGTGTCTGCCTACCCACAGAAGGCAGCGGGTACCCTCTTTGGTACAAGCACTATGGGAGGGAACTGAGGAAAACCTCCCTGGTGGTTGGACCTCCTCGGGCCTACTAGCACCCACTCCTGCCTCCCAGGGCCCCCCGAGTGGAGAGCTATCCTCAGACCCCCTCTCCTTACCCATGACCCAGCAGTCACTCATGCCTGGCACCTTTCTGTCTCGGGCCTTTTGCACATGCCAATTCCCTCTCCTAGAAGTCTCCCCCCTGCCCTTCCCAGGCCAGGCTCCTCACCCTGCCCAAATGCCACCTCTGCAGAGGCCCTCCCTGACAGTCACAGTTAACACAGCCACCAGTGCCCCTGCCCCATCATCTGTACAACAGCCCTGACTTTGTTTCTTCTATGGTACTTACCACACTTTGTCACTGTTGTATGCATTCTTTTCTTTCCCTGCCTACCTGCCCAGCAGGGCTGTGCTGTCCTGCCCCCCACTGCGCTCCTATCACCCGGCGAGCTTGGTGGGCCTGGCACATACGTGGTCAAAGTCAGTAGTTCTCAACAGGGGTAGAATCACACCCCCAGGGACAGAGCCACTTTGGTTTCCACAACCAAACAGTCCAGGGATGCTTTGAAACTTTCTGTGATATGCAGAACACCTTCCCACAACAAAGAATTATTCTGCCCAAAGGATCAAGGTTGAGAAATCCTGATTTTTTTAATGTTTATTTTTGAGAGAGAGAGAGAGAAAGCAGGGGAGGGGAGAAAGAGAGGGAGACACAGAATTTGAAGCAGGCTCCAGGCTCCAAGCTGTCAGCACAGAGCCCAACACAGGGCTCGAACACACAAACCGTGAGATCGTGACCTGAGCCAAAGATGGAGGCTTAACTGACTGAGCCTCCCAAGTGCCCCAAGAAACCCTGTTTTATTTTATTTTATTTTAATTATATTTATTATTATTATTTTAAGAAACTCTGTTTTAAATAAATGGGCTGCTAAATGCAAGAATCAATAAAGCATGGCCGGGTCACTGTCCCTTCTGTCCACCAGGGGGCAGCACCACCCCGCGTGAAATCCAGGGTAACAGCCTTGACAGGAATGGCTCAGAGTTAACTCGGGTCCCAAAAACAAGCTAACACCTTCCACAGAGACACACAGCTCCACAACATACACACTGAATACAACGGGCCCACACCATCCCACAAACAGCGCCCTGCCCGTCAGCTTCCACAGGAGTTACGGTCACCCTGTCCACAGCACTTAACTTCCAGCAGGTCCCCAAGACAGAGGACGGGACTGGTGTCAGAGACAAAGCCACACGCGCAGCACACTCAGAGCACTCACGCTCTGGGCCCTCACTTGGGCTCGCTGCCCCCCAGCCCTGGCCCTGCTTCTCCCTGGGAAAGGCCCAGCGGATGTGCCTCGGGGACATTCCACCCCTAGCCAGTGCAGGGCCCGCCCCCTGCCCATCACCTCTAGCTGTTCTCATCTCCCAGCTGCCACACCCGACGCTTCTGGACCCCTCCCACGTGCACACACCTGCCCCTCATCCCAGCCCCAGCTGAGACCCCCTCTCCTCTGTCCCACGTGGAGCCTGGCCTTCACTCTTGCCGCCCACCCTCTGCCCACATACATGGCAGTTCCCTCCATCGTCCCACTCTGTGCCCCAGCACCTCCTGCCCATCCTCCAGTCCCCCCTCGGGGACTGCCTGTTTGTGCCATCACCCCAAATCCAGGGGGGCCCCTACCTGACACAATCCTCCCTCTCGGGCCCCACACCCCGGTTTCTGCCAGAGAGATACCACCAGCCCCCAGCTCAAATGTTGGCTCCTCCCTGCACCCCCATCCTTCCTCTCACGTGGTCAACTCCTAGAGCCGAGCCCACCTTCCTTATTCCCCTGGGACCACCGTGTCCTCCTGACCCCTCACACTTCCCCCATGTCAGCAATTTCTCCCTTGGATGTCTCGCTCTGGGCCTCCCTCATTCATATCCATCAAGCATAAGCTAAAGCAGACGCCACTCTCATTTATGCCTCCCCAGCTGAAGAACCATCGAAGGCTCCCTATTGTCTTTATTGTCAAGATCAAAGTCTTCAGGGGAGCCATCAAAAGACCTCCAACTCCTGCCCTGGGCCTCCTCCCCGCCCCCCCCAAGCCCAGGAAGGAGGAATTTGGAAAATGCCGTCACTCCCAGCCCAGACTGCCTTCTCGTGCCTGCCCCCTCCCGTTCACGCTTCAAGGATTCAAACACTCAAGTCTACCACCTGCTCCAGCCCTTGGCATCTTTCTTCCTTGTCACACAATCTGGCCCTCGGTGAGAGAGCAGCCTTTTCTCCTGGCTACTGTCCCACTCGGTAAGTGTCTCCCCGTTTCCTCCCCAAGGGCAGGAAGACCGTCAGGTATCACATAAAGCTTCTTCACTAAATATGTGACTCATGGGGCTTCCTTGCCCAGATTCATGGTTTTCCAAAACATCTTTTTCAGCAGAGCCCCTTTGGCCAAACAGAATCATACATGAAAACCCAATATGAAAACAAAAATGGCATTAAAAAAAAAAAAACAGAACAAAGCAGATTTCTCTAGTTCAAGCAATGGCTGGGGTCCCTGGCCTGCTCCTGGCATCCCACAGCTCCCTGGGGGAACACAGTTTGAGAAACACTGGCCCTGCAGCAAATCCTTTTGTTATTTTATTTTCACATTAAACTATTTCTTTGGGGGGGGGGGGGCATCTGGGTGGCTCAGTCCGTTAAGCTTCAGACTTTGGCTCAGGTCATGATCTCGTGGTTCGTGAGTTTGAGCCCTGCATCGGGCTCTGTGCTGACAGCTCAGAGCCTGGAGCCTGTGTTTCCCTCTCTCTTTGCCTCTCCCCTACTTGCATTCTGTCTGTCTCTCAATTTCAAAAACAAGGAAAGCATTTAAAATTTTTCTTTAATTTTTAATAAAAAATTTTTAATATATATTTCTTTGGGGGCATCTAGGTGGCTCCATCAGTTAAACGTCTGGCTCTTGGTTTTGGCTCAGGCTATGATCTCATGGCTTGTGGATTCGAGCCCTGCATCGGGCTTCATGCTGACAGTGCAGAGCCTGCTTGGGATTCTCTCTCTCTCTCAATCTCTCTCTCACACACTCTCTCTCTCAAAATAAACTTTAAAAAAATAGATTTCTTTGGCTTTTTTCCAGCTTTACTGAACTAATAACTGAGGTTTTTTTTTATAGGAAGTAGGATTTATTGGTGGGCATGAATAGGGAGGGGCGGTAACGGGGTTCTCATGAATGCAGAGCCCGCCATTGGTCCAAGGGGCCACAACTGGGGATCTATTTGACCTACGGCCATCTGGGATGAGCCGCTTTTCAGCCACCATGTCTTCAAATTCATCCACATTAAGCTTAGTAAAGCCCCACTTCTTGGGAATGTGGATCTTCTGGCAGCCAGGGAACTTGAACTTGGCCCTACACAGGGCCTCAATCACTTACTCCTTGTTCTGCAACTTGGTACGAATGGACATGATGACTTGGCCAACGCGGCATACCTGTCTGAAGCCTAGATTGGAGACAGCATGAGGCCAAATCTCAGTGTCCACTGGAAAGGGCTGTCTCCAAGGTCCCTTGGGGCAACCCATACAATCAACAGGCTGCATACGCTACCAAGGAGTTGCAGCCATGGCACACTGGGCCCTCATGGGGAAAGAGCACAGTCGGCTTAACCGGCTGCTGAATGTGCTGCAAACTTGTAAGTGTGGCTGTAGGCTTCCGTCCCCAGCCCACTTGGTCTCATCTGACCAACCCCTCCTCTTCTCATGCTACAACCACCCGAAGTGCTGGGGCTCCAGAAAATACCACAGGCTCCCCTTCTGAGCCAGGGGTCTGTAAAGCACAGCCCATGGGTCAAGTCCAGCCAGTGGCCTGGCTTTGTATGGCCCTTGAGCTGAGAATGGTTTTTACAAGTTTAAAAGACTGAAGACAGGGCACGCCTGGGTGGCTCAGTCAGTTGAGGTCATAGCTCAGGTCATGATCTCACAGTTCGTGGGTTCGAGCCCCACGTCAGGCTCTGTGCTGACAGCTAGCTCAGAGCCTGGAGGCTGTTTCGGATTCCGTGTCTCCCTCTCTCTCTGTGCCTCCCCTGCTCATGCTCTGTCTCTCTCTCAAAAATAAATAAAGATTAAAAAGAATTTTTAAGGACTGAAGAAAAAAGAGGAAGAGCAGGAGACTGTGTGGTAACCAACACCTAAAACATCAGCTACCTGGCCCTTTACAGAGAAGGTGAGTTGACCGCTGGCAAACCTTGAGGGCCCACTCCTTCGCCCAGGCCAGCCCCTCGGCCTGGAATGCCCTCACCCGGCTTTCAGTGGCGTTTAGTGAACTCTACTCATCCTCAAGGCCCCAAAACCTATTTATTGCCTATGAGCCTCTGCCTCGAGGCTCCCCAGCCGTGAGTGCACCTAGCAAGCTTCAGCTGGGACTGGTCTGCAAGGGCAGGTCCCGTCCGACCCGTCTTGGTGCTCCAGCCCCGCTGCCAGGCCCACTGTGGGGCACGAGGAACACAAGAGACGCACGCACGGCCTCGGGCCCTCCCCCCTTCCACAGACTCCCCGGCTGCGCCCACCTCATCCTGTAGGTTGATGTCCCCGGGCCCACGGTTGAGCTGCTCCTGTAGGCTGCACACGACTGCATTGTTGCCCGGTACTCGGTAAATGCCCGTGGACTCCAGCCCCCGTGCTTCCACGATGCGGCAGCATGCGGCCACGATCAAGGGGACCCGCTGGGGACAGGGCAGACGTGTTAGGAAGGTAAAGGGCAGGATTCCCCGCCGGTGAGCCAGGAGAGGCGGGAAGGCCACGACGGGCGCAGTGCAAGGCCAGAGCTGCTGCCCGGGGCCCCGTGCGGGGGAGCAGAAGGCCCTCTCTGGCTCCGGGCACCAGAGCCTCGCCACGGTCTGCACTGGAGCACCAGGTGGAGGTCGGAGACTGTGGGCTCCACCTCCCTGGGCTCTGCACCCCCCCCAACCCCCCCGAACCGCAGCGTCTGTAAGACGAGGCGGAGAGTCGGTTCCAAAGTCCCTCACAGCTCTGACCCTCTGTGCCTTGGTCTCCCCTCTTCTGTGCCTGCTCTGGAGTATGGCGGGGACTCACCTGGTTCTCCGTGGCTGGCTGGCACTCCTCCAGCCGGACCCCAAACGCCCTAGGAGCTGCTTTCTTGTTCTTCTTGATGATGTTGATGCCCCACGGGGTTTTGGGAGTGGCAGCGCTGTCATCTGGGGAAGACAGACAAAGCCAGGGTGAGCGGGCGGCCCGGGGAGGGGCAGCAGCCACACTGGGTCACACACACTCACCCATGTTTGGACATACGGGGGCTCCATCAGAGAAGCAACTGGAATGCTGAGGGCTGGTGGGAAATTATATCCTGAGAGAAGGCCTCAGAGATGAGGGTGTTTATTCCTGAGGAATCAGCCCCCAGAGGAAAGTAAGGACTTCTATGTGGCCTCAAGGGCTAAAACAACAAGGTGGGAGCCACAGATGCTGACACAACCAAAGAGAGAACTTTCTAATAGTCCAGAGTGTGTAAAGTTGGAAAAGGCTGACTCCAGAGAGGATGAGCCTCCTGCTCCTGAAAGGCCACAGGCAGGGACTTGGAGGACACCCAGCTGGGATGTCATGGAGGGAAATCAGGTTCCAGGCCCTTCCAGCCCTGAGACTGTGGGAGCCCCTGGACCCTCACAGGCACACAAGAGGCAGACACACCAGGATAACCCTGGCACACGCCCAGCCCAACACACATGCACACACCCACATCCACACACACGCCCTTGGCTCCCACGTAGGCCCACAGGACTGACCCCCACCCTCACCCATGTGCACACACACATATTGCCCCCTTAGCAGCCACCTTCCTACCCTTGTTCCCCGCCGACTGGTCCTGAGTCCTGAGGCCACGTGCAGTACTCTGTTTGAGGAACTCAGACTTGAGGCCCCCCAGGCCACGAGAGACTTTTGGGGAAGAGTCAGCTTTGGGCCCAGAGCTATGGCTGTGCAGGAAAAGGAGGAGAGGAGAAGTCTTCATCTGGGGCAACCAAACATGCCACCTGCCCCGGCCGCCTACCGCTCTGGGCCTCCCCTCCATCCCTGACGCAATCCTTCCTTGCCCTTCTGAGGACTGAAGGCCCTGCCTGCCCCCCAGGAGAGGGTGACTCGGAGGCCGCCCTCAGGCCCGGAGGTGGGCCAGGAGGATGGCCTCTGTCTGGAGTGCCCCCGCCTCATGATCAGGACTATCAATGAGAGCTGGACCTCACCTTACTTTGCGATAATCATTAAGCTTCTTGCTGATCAGAGCTTGGTTGGCACAGCCGGGGTCCTGGAGGAAGGGAAAGAGAAAGCAGACCCCCTCAGTGCCCACAGCCAGCCAGCTCAGGTCTTATCCCTGGCCCCTGCCTCAGCTTCGCCTCCCCCCTCCTCCATCTGTCAGCTGGAGGGCTCACACCCTGGCATGAGAAAGACCAGGGCTGGACTCCCGAGCACCCCCTCCCAGCTGTGTGACTTAGGGTAATCCACTGGCCTCTCTGAGCCTCAGTCTCCTCCACAGGAACAAAGGAGACAATGTGACACCCTCAGGGCTGGGCTGCAGAATTATGCATGTAGCACTCATTACATTCCCGGCCAGGCACAGAGTGGATGCCCCTGGGACTGGCAGCTATTGCAATAATGAAGGTCACTTGGGACCCCCCTGACTATGCCCTGCTGGGGACAGCCCAGCCAGGTCCCCCAGAACAGGGGCCACACGTTCCAGGTACTTTCCTCCCTGCAGTAAGGAAAGGCAATGTCCTGAGGAGAGCAGAGCCTGGTTCAGCCAAAGGATGCGTCTCTTCTCTGTGGCCCAGAGCCTATGTACTGGCGCCCCTCTCCCCAATGGCCAGAGCACGTGCACACTTGGCCCAGAGCCCAGGCCCACCATCCTCATGGCAGAGACCAGCCCCTGAGCTCAGGACCCCCACATAACTGTGTGCAAGTGAGCAAAGGCGGCCCCGTGCAGGCACCTGGGGGAGGGGGGCACAGGAAGGGGAAAACCCCAGCCCAGGCTCTGTGTGTGCAGCTGCAGCCGCCCACGAGGGGGCGCCATTGAGAAATTACCCTTGAAATCCCTGCCAAAGCCTTTGGCTCAACCAGGGCAGCGGGCTGCCAAAGGCCAATCCCCTTGGCCTCCTCCCAAGGTCAATGTGTTGGTGCCCTGCTGACAGGCCAGCCCTGTCAGAAGGGCCGGCCACAGTTCTGGAACAGGGGCACCCCATTCTTGTGAAACATTCCCTAAGAAACCCAGGCTTTCTGAAGCCCAACCGAAGGTTGGCCCGGACCTGACCTCTCTGTGCCACAGCCGGCTTGAGGCAATAATAATAATAATAATAATGATAATAATTAGTGCCATTCCTACAGTTATTAGCGTTACTGCCAGCCAGGGAATCCTGAGGATGCCAGGTGTCTGCATTTTCTCTTCACACCAAGGCCCGGGTAGGCAGGGCTGCAAGGTGTACTCCTGTTAGCCCATTTTAGGGACGAGGAAACTGAGGCTCAGAGCAGTGAAAGGAGGTCCATGGCTGGTGAGGGGCGGCCCTGGGGCCTCTCTGCCACCCCTCCCCTCCTCCCGGGCCCGGGTGGGCGGCCGGGCCCTCACCTCGCCCTCGGCCCTGCTGTTCTCTCGGATCGCTCTGATCCAGCCCAGCATGTCATCCCGGTCCTCAGCCTGAAAGAGATATTCACAGAAGTCAGCGGTGGTCAGCCGGAACACGTGCCTCCTCTTGGTCTCGCTGTAGGAGATGTCCACCAGGCAGGAGCCGATGCAGACGGGCGCCGCCTCGTCCTCACCTGCGACGGCCGCCGCCGCCCCCGCCGCCGCCGCCGGCCCGGGCTCCCGCCGCTCCTTGCTCAGCGAGAGGGAGCGCGCCCGCAGCGCGGCGTACACCCGCTTCCACTGGCGCAGGCCGCCGCCCGCTTTCTGCAGGGAGACACGGGGGAGGGGAGAGACACGGGAGGGGACGGGTGTGAGAGGCGGGGCCTGCCCTCCCCGCCCCCAACAACGCTCGAGGGGGCCCTGGGAGCTGCAGGCAGCCACAGCGGTGGGGACCCCAGGAGCCCCGTGGCCCACCCTCCGGCCCAGCCCCTCACCTGCCTGGACACCCCTACCCACCGTTCTCAGTCCCCTCAACCTTCCTTTAAATACTAGCATCTTTAAACACTAGCATCGGGGCGCCTGGGTGGCTGGACCGTTAAGCGTCGGATTTCGGCTGAGGTCAAGATCTCACAGTTGGGGAGTTCGCCCTTGTTGGATCCTCTGCCTCTCTCTTTCTCTGCCCTCCCCTGCTCGAGCTCTCTCTCTCTAAAATCAATCAATCAATCCTAGCATCAACAGCATGTGGCATGAGCAATGACCACAGCAGCAGCGACGCCCCGCCCAGCATGCCCCACCTTACATAAAATCCTTGTAAAGCCATTCCTAGGCCACATACGGCCCCCTGATCAAGAATTCCCCACCGCGACTGCTCTCGCCGCCTGTTTGCCTCTCGTTCAAGACCCTGCCAGGTGTCCTGGTCTCAGAAGCTGCCCACAAGGTCACCCTGGACCCGTGCGCTGCTTCCAAAGCAGCTTCTCGGTCCTTCCCTGCCTTTTCCTTGACCTCTGATGTGAGTTACCCGGCCGGCGCTAGCGCTCCCTCCTTCTCCAAGCCCTCTGGTGGCATCTGGGACCCCATGGTCCCTGGTTTCCCTCCTAATTCCACTGGCTCCTTCTCAGTCTCCTCCACTGGTTTCCTTTCCCCCCATCCCTGCCCTGCAACATGCTCTCACCCGCGGTTCTCAACAGGGGACATGTACCTGAAGATGTTTTCAGTTGTCACACCTGGAGAAGTGCTATGGCATCTAGTGGGTAGAGGCCAAGGGTGCTGCCAGACTTCCCCCAAGGTCAAAGACAGCCCCCCACAACAAAGAATCATCTGGATCACTAGAGCTGAGGCTAAGCCCCCACCCCCAAGGAGGGGGAGCTCCAGAACTTTGTCCTGGGCTCCCTTTTCCCTGCATGTGTCTTCCATGATGTCACCCACGCCTGTGGCTTTAAATCCCATCTGTCTACCAATGGTGATTCCCAAATGTATCCCTGGTCTGGCATCTCTCCCCACCCCCCAGCCCCAGTCCCACACCTCCCACCGCCTACTCAGTGTCCCCGTTTGCATGTGTCTTAGGCACTCCATGGGATACTTGATTTCTGTCACCCGACTTGTTCTCCACAGCCCTCCCCTACTTCTCCAGCTCAATAAATCCACCCAGTTGTCCAGAAACCTAGGACTTGCCCTCGACCCCCCATCTTCCCCACCCTTAATATCCAACCCTTCAGGAAGTCACACCTGTTCTCCTTCCAAAATACATCTCCACCTCTTCCCAGTATCTACCACCTTGTCCACACCACCAACCCCTCTGACCTAGACAACTACACAAACCTTCCCAGTCCCCACCTTCTCTTCTGCAGTCCACTGTCCACCCCGCAGCTGCCACCATTTTTTAAAAAGTAATCTCTGCCAACGTGGGGCTCGAACTCACGACCCTGAGATCGAGTGTCACACACTACCAACTGAGCCAGACAGTCGCCCCTGCAGCCACCATTTTATTTTTAAAAAATTTTTTAAATGTTTTTATTTATTTCTAAGAGAGAGAGAGAAACAGCGTGAGCAGGAGAGTCAGAGAGAGAGGGAGACACAGACTCCAAAGCAGCTTCAGACTCTGAGCTAGCTGTCAGCACAGAGCCCAACACGGGGCTCGAACCCACAAACTGTGAGATCATGACCTGAGCCAAAGTCGGACACTTAACCGACTGAGCCACCCAGGTGCCCCTCAGCCACCATTTTAAAATGTAAATGAGATCATGTCTCTCCCCTGCTTAGCACCCGCTGGTAGGTTCCCACCGCCACTGGAATCAAACCTAAGAACTTCTGTGATGTATCTCTCCCCCTCGAACTCAACTTCTCCACCAACTTCTTTCTCGCTGTGTCAAGACACAGGGGCCCTTCTCTAGCGAACAAGCCAACCCTTTCCTTTCTTGGGGCCTTTGTTCTTTCTTACTATTCCTTCTCCCTTTCTCTTGCTTCTCCCTGTGGCTTCCTTCTCGCCCTTTAGATCTGAGCTCAGACGTCACAAACATCACTTCCTCAGCGAGGACTTCCCAGACTATTTTTTCTTTCTTTTTTAAATATTTATTTATTTTTATTGATAAGAGAGTGCACGCGCACGCGCATGAGTAGGGGAAGGGCAGAGAGAGATTCCCAAGCAAGCTCCACGCCACCAGCACAGAGCCTGACATGGGGCTCGAACTCACGAACCGTGAGATCATGGCCCGAGCTGAAATCAGGAGTCAGACGCTCAATCGACTGAGCCACCCAGGTGCCCCCACTGGCCATTTTTTAATAAAGGCAGCTCCCTGCTACCTCCAGAATTAAAGGCAATTCACATCACCCTGTTCATTTTCCCTGAGTGCTCACTATAACCTCTGCTTATGCTGAGGTTGTGGATTTCTCCAGTAAATGGCAAGCTCCTAGGGGCCGGAAGCTGGTCTGTCCTCTCACATTCTTTTTGTTTTTTTATTTTTTTTAAATTTATTTCTAGGAGAGAGAGAGAGACAGCGTGAGCAGGGGAGGGCCAGAGAGAGAGGGAGATACAGACTCCGAAACAGGCTCCAGGCTCTGAGCTGGCAGTCAGCACAGAGCCCGACGCGGGGCTCGAACCCACGAACCGCGAGATCGTGACCTAAGTGAAAGTCGGACGCTTAACGAACTAAGCCACCCAGGCGCCCCTGTCCTCTCACATTCTTATCTGAGAGCCTAGAGCCTCCAGGCAGAGGGTAAGTGCTTATCAATATTTATTGAATAAATGAAGTGATGCATTAATTATCCTCGGAGCACCCTGAGGGCAGAGGCTCTTCCCCATCAGAGCCAGGGCTCCCTTCCTTGCACTGGGGGCCTACTACTACCTACTATCATCCTACATGGGCCTCTGCCCTCAGAACAAACCAGATGCGGACACCCCGTGGCTGGCAGGTAACACAGCCACATCTGACCGTGAACCCTGCTCACCACCAGAGACCTGCTGGACCCAGACAGGATCGTCCGAGCAGGAAACGACATGGCCCTCCAGAATTTTTTTTAATGTTTATATTTTTATTTTGAGAGAGAGAGAGAAAGTAGGGGAGGGGCAGAGAGAAAGGGAGAGCAAATCCCAAGCAGGCTCCACGCTCAGCACAAAGACCAGCCCAGGGCCGGATCTCATGACCATGAGATCGTGACCTGAGCCAAAATCAAGAGTCAGATGCTTAACCGACTGGGCCACCCAGGCGCCGCAGGGAATTTTTTATGTCGTGGTGAGGTGACAAGGTGGCCCTTTGAGACCAAACCAAACTAGGTGACCTTGGATAAGCCAAGCCCCCTCCCTTGGCATCAGTGTTCCCTATTGGTAAATGAAAGCTGAACTAGCCAGTTGCCAAGATTACATCCTGCTCAAATGGTAGGTTTGTGACTGTGGGGACCTGCCACACCTCTCTCCCTCTGCCTGACAGTGAATGGTCTCTGAAAGAGGCCGGCGGCTGGGTGGGGGTTACCCGGGAGAGGCTAGACCTGCCAGAGTGGACAACTTCTGGCTGACCATCAGTTCCCTGGACAGACTGAGGGCCTGAAGCTGACCTGATAACCCTTCTCCTAACTCCCAGGCCACAGCCCTAAGGGAACAAGTGAAATCGGGTCCTGGCCAAGCCAGGAGGGGAAGCCCCTGTTCTCCAGAACTGGTCAGTGAGCAGGAAGGGCCCAGCTCCCGTCCCTGCCTGGGAGACACTGGTGGGGCCGCCAGGGGCCACCCAGAGCTGGGAGATGGGCCACCTCACAGGCAGGAGTCAGCAGTTCTCCCCTGGCCCTCAGAGGAGCTCACACTTGGGGCTGGAAGGGCTCATCTCCCCTTCCTCAGCTCACACAGCCGGCCCCTGCTGCCCCTCCTAGGCACCCCTTCCTGCCATCTTGCTGGCTTTCCTCGTTGGCCTGCTTTCCCCACTTCCTCTCAAAGTGCAGCCGGTCTCTTGCCTCCTCCCTCTGTGCTCCCGCCCCTGTGGCTACAGGTGCACACCCTGATATACTGCCTCCCGAGGGCCACAGCCCCCGGAGCCTCTGTCCTCAGGACACCCCCACCAAGGCATGTCCCAGGGCCCTTGGGCTCCACAAGTTCCCAGAGAAACCCTTGGCTTCGACTCGCCAAACCTGCCCCTCCAGTGCCCTGTGGCTCAGGGGAAGGCCCCATCACCCCCACAGCCATCGTCTGCCTCCTCCACCCTCCCGCACCTCCCAGCCAACAGCAAGCCCAGCACATCCATCCCTCAGTGTCTCTAAATTGTCCCTTCCCCTCGGCCCCATGCCACGAGCTTGGTCAGGGCCCCTGCTCTCGCTCACCAGGACAGCAGCAATGGCAGTGTCATCTCCTATCACAGATGTGACCCTCGCCTCCCGGGCTTACACACCTCCCACCCCCATCTAAACCTCTGCAAAGGCTTGTCCTGGGTGATGGGGTCCAGGGAGCAGGCACCCGACTCCCCACCTCGCCTTCCACCTGTCGCCCTGACTCTCAGCCACCCAGCGCGCCCTCCGTTCCTTTCTCCCGGCCCATCAAGGAGGGCATCCCTCCCCATCCCTCGTGGATTCTCACACACCCTTTGCGTCACAGCCTCCTCCACACCTTCCCTCACCCCGAGGTTGGGGTCACCTACTGCGTCCATCCTGCTCAGCTCCCCCATCGAAACAGTCACGAGCTGACAACTAATATGCACTGTGTGCTTCTTCTGTTTGTCCTGAGCCCCAGCAGGGCACCACTAGACACCCCATGCCTCGACCGAGAATCGGGAGCACGACAGGTACTTGGTCATTATAATGGACTGGACGAGGGCAAGGATGGATGCCCGCCCCCGCCTGGCCTATCCATCTCACTTCACTTCCCACCAGCCCACGGTATGGAATGACACTGTCCCCATGTTACAGATCAGAAGAGTGAGGCACAGAGGTTAAGGGGCTTGCCCAAAGCCATATGCTGGATACGTGGCTGGGCAGGAAGTCTGTATGACTTCAAAGCTTCTGTTCTCTCCAGGTCCAAGACCCGTAGAAGGCCCGGTGGAAAATTCAAATAATGGCAGAAGACTAGCAGCTCGCCGTGCCAGGCACTGGGTGCACTTCTGCTGAGATCATCTCGTCTAATCCTCAGCAACAGGTGTATGTGCTAAGGGTTGTTATGAGCTCTAGTCACAGACGAGGAAACTGAGTCATAGGCAGGTGAGTCACCCAAGCTCCCCTGGCAATTCATGACGCAGCCAAGGGCCAAGCCCAGGTTGATGCTAACTGCTCCGCTCAGCTTCACCCGGGCTGCGTCTCCTCCGTGGAGCCAGGGCCTTGGCCTCCTCACTCTGGGATCCTGGTTGTCCCCCTCCTGCCACCCGCAGGCCTAGCCGTCACTGTGGTCACTCTTAATTGGGCCTCCTGCCTCCAGCCGGCTCCAGCTGGGCCCCCCCTCTAAGTCATTCCCCAGGAAGCCAAAAGAAAGAGGCCCTAGGGGCTTTCAGTTGCTCTTAGGATAAAGACTAAAAGCCTTGCTGGGCCTGAAAGACCCCGAAAAGGCTAACTTCTGCCTGCTTTGGGGGTCTCAGCTCCCCCTTAAAGAATTACATCTTCTGTGAGTCCCAGCGCTGCTTTTTGGGGTGATCAGCCGGCAAAGGATCACTGTGGGGTGGCTCTGTTGGAATTTCATGCCCAGTTTGCCCAGATCCGTCCTACAGCAGAGACCCCCTCTCTTGTTAACCCTTTTTTTTCCATGAGTTCTTTATGTCCCCCCAGGAAGTTCTTCCTAACATCGAACCTCTACCCCTCATGCTCCAGCCTCGGCTGGTCCTCTCTGGCTCCAGAGGCTGGGGGGCGGGTGTAGAAGCTGGAGAGTTCTGCCGGAGACAGCTGCCGTCCACCTCCACCTCATGCTGCCAACCGTCTTACCTTCCCCTTCTTGGTGAGGACCTGTTTATAATACAACCAGCCTTCTCTCCTGATATCGCTGAAGGTTGCGTCCGAGAGGTCAGAGGTCGAGTGTCGCTTAGAAGGAGCGTCGGCATCATCGGAAGTACCCCAGCTATCCAAGGACTGCAGGGACACGACAGAGGGCCACTTAGGGTGGCTCCCACAGTGCCAGCATGCCAGGAGGCCCATCGGCCTCGCACAGCCACACAGGCCTGGTGGACACCTGTGCTGTGTGGCCTCACGGGCCCTGCTTAGCCTCTCTGAGCCGCCGTGCTGAGGTCATGGAACGTATGTGTCAAGGAAGCCAGAAAGGAAGAAAGGCTGTGACCTGCAGACCACATGGCTCACCACGCCAGAAAAGCCAATCCGGCACCTCCTTCAATTTTATAGACTTGAAGAAACTAAGGAAACAAAGGAAGTGATTGTGACAACACAGAGTTAAATAAACAGAGGAAGTGGAAACATCAACAAAGGCTGAGTTGGTGGAGCATGTAGTCATGTCCACAAAGAGTTAAACAGAGGAAGTGATAGTGTCAACACGACTCCAGCAACACAAGTGACAGGTCAAGGGAGAGTTAAGTAAGCAGAGGAAGTGATAAGGAATAAGTCAGGTGACAATATCCTCAAGGTGTTAAATGAATCAAAGATACCGAGGGTCTGAAGTCAGACGGCTTTTTGATCTACCGACGATCACAGAGTTAAGGCCATCTCGGAACTGACCCTGTGTTTCCCCGGGGTCCAAGCCCAGAAACTCCAGCCTGTCAGCCACACTCAGCCCTGTGTCACCCTCCTTTCCGATGTCCAGTGTCCCTTGAAGACACCACACAAATACTGCCCGATGCCACCCTGTGCAGGCAGTTTGGGCCACCCACAGGAAGCAGGCAAGCCAAATGAAATCCCTACCCTCACAGGGCTTACGTTCTACCTGGGAGGCAGGCAACAGAGGAGACGGATAGGTAAACTGTATCACGTGAGAAGTGCTAAGGAGAAAATAGGCATGAGGTGTCAGGGGTGGAAAAGGTGGAGAAAACAGAAGAAAGCAAAAAGGTGAGTCCAGGGGCTATGGATGGGAGTGTGTGGAAAGGGCATTATAGATGGAGGCCTTGGGTGGGAGGGTGCAGGTGTCCTTAAGTTAGGACAAAGCCCACGTAGCTGACACAAGGGGATCATGTGCAGGGCGGGGAGGGGGACACAGGAGCCAGAGTAGACCACTTCCTGGAAGCCAGAGGCCAGGAAGCCCACCCGAGCCGGGGCTCCACAGCTAAGGCATCATCCCTCCCCGGCTGCCCCAACGCTCCCGCCCGCACACGCTCGCCACTCACCCCATCAGTAAAGAAGCTTCGCAGCATCCGCAGGCTGGGTACTCGGTTTGGCAGGCGCCTGGCGAGCGAGAACGGATTGTGAGGGACGTGGAAAGCGCGGCTAGGACTTCTCAAATCCCAAGCTGAGAAGCCTTCCAAGGGCGGGAGCTCATTCCCCGGGGGAAAGGGAGCGGGCGCATGGAGGATATGGGACCCGAGAGCCCCGTCCCAGCCCAGTCGGGGTGGCTGTGACAGCCGCAAGCTGTCCTCACCTCAGAGCCCTGCCCTCTTCCCGGAAGGTATTGAGCCCGTCGTCGCAGGACTTGGAGCGCTCCGTGGTGATGGCCAGCAGGTAGGAGGAGCGGCGGCCGGCCTTGATGCTGCCTGCGAAGCCACGCACAGGGTCAGCACGAGGGCAAGGGTGCGGGCTTCCCTGGGGCCCTCCCGTCGGGGCAGGGCCAGGAGGTGACTCTACCCACGGGGCCCCTGGAGTAGCAGAAGCCGGCAGGAAGAGGCCAGACCTCAGGGAGCATGCCCAGCAGAGACCCCTGGGGACCAGGCAGCAAGGGAGAGGGCGGGGCAAGGGCTTCAGGGAGCACTCACTGCAGTCCTGGGAGTAATGGCGGCCAAGGGCAAAGGTGAAAGTTGGGGAGGATGGGCTGGTGCCCAGGACGGGGGCTGAGTTCATGGCGCTGGAGACCACGGCGGAGGCAGGGACATGCTTGGCTTGGAGGTCAATGCTGGGGCTGGTGGGCTCATCTGCAGGCAGAGGGGAGGGGTGGATAAAGGTGGCAGAAAGCTAACCCTGCCTGCCCCGCCTCCCCCAGCCTCGCCTCCTGGCCCAGACCACATCCCCCAGGCTCAGGTCCTCCAAGGCCCCGCGGGCAATATGCCCATGGCCCAGAGTCTCCCATCCCCAGACTGCGGGCATGGAGGCTCCGTGCCTGCCTCCTCCTCCACACCCAGGCCTGAGGTCAAGCCACCCTCCCTAGACTGGGCTCCTGAGAGCATCGGACTGTCTCCCCCACCAGACTGGGAGTCTCTTGAGGGTAAAGACTTGTCTCCTCCATCAGTTCAGGGCTCCTTGAAGGCAGATGCTATGCTTCCCCCTCAGACTGGAACTCACTGATGCTGTGTCCGCCCACTCGGACCGAAGGCTGACCAGGGAGAGGAGACCCAGCCCTGGCCTGGGCTCTTGTCCCTCACCCCCGAGGCTACGTACTGTCTCTCCACTCTTGGCTCCCAGTCTCATGATCTTGCATCTGGCCTTTCTCTCAAGCCCCTAGACCCAGCCCAGCCTAGCCTGCACCCTCATGGACAGTCAGCAAACCTTAAACCTTCTCCCGCTCCCTCTCATTCCCAATATAGAGGGGGGGCAAAATCCTCCAAGTAGGGCAGAAACTTAGGACCCACCCAGGGCCTCTTCTCTCCTGCCTCTCCCTCTTATCCAACATCTGTTCCACAGGCAGGAAACCCTCAGTGTCCCCTCTGCTCTCAGGATAAATTCCCAAATTCCCCAGAGACTGACACGGCCCCTCTGGACCCTTTCTCAGAGAGGGCACCCTCCTCTCTCACTTCAGGGTCTTGGCATATTCTGTTCTCTCCCTGAACACCCGCCCCCCCCCCCCCCCCCCCCCCGGCAACTCCTTCTCATCCTTCAAGTCTTAGTTCTAATCTGCTTTCTCTAAGATTCTCTCCTTGGCTACCACACCCCAGTCTGGGCCATGTCACCCTTCTCTGTCACCTAGGGCTCCCTGTATTCCCATCTCACACACACACACACACACACACACACACACCATGGGGTTGTACTTGTTCCATCATCTGTCCCTGCTGCTGGACCACACGCTCCAGAAGAGCCTGGAGCCTAGCGCAGTGCCTGACAGAAATATCTGTTGGATGAATGGACGGATGGAGGGTGGGTGGAAGACACAAAAAGTAAAAGGAACAAAGGAAGGATAGATGAAAGAAAGGATGGGAGGAAGGGTGAAAAGAAAGAATGATGGAAGAATAGAAGGAAGAGATGAATGAACAAAGGGAAGAAGAAGAAAGAAAGGGAGGAGGAAAAGAAGAGAAACAATGGATGGGTGGGCGGAGGGGTGAATGAATAGATGGAGGAAAGGAAGGAGGGAGGGAGGGAGGGGGGAAGACGGCTGGGGGAGAAATGAATGAAAGGAAGGGTGACAGGATCCAGGAGAGGACAAACGGATGGATGGATGTATGGATGGATGAACAGACGGACGGACGAACAGAGAAATCAGCACTCAACCCAGAGTTTTGCCCGTGGTTGATGGGTGGGTGAGGTACAAAAGGGCACAGATGTCCAAGTTTCCCAAGACAGCCACCTGTACTGTCTGTCACTCACCAATGAAGGGGATGGAAGCCAGAGAGTCTTCAGTAGTGGCCAAAGGGGCCACCTTCCTGCCCAGGCGTTCCACTCGCCCACTGGACTCTGGCTCTGGGGCCTCTTCGCCAAACCCAAGGTTCATCTGTCTTGCAGGGGGCAGCTGGACCTTCCGGCCCGTGGGAGGCTTTTGCCTCAGAACCACCTCATCACGGCGATCCTCGCCGGCAGGCTCCAGAGCCCGGGTGCTAGGTTCTGGGCGGGCAACCCTGGGCGGTTCGGAGGCTTCCGGTGGGAACGATGCAGGCGACTGAGCCAAGTTGAAGGTGGGCAGCCCCCCAAAGGGTGAGTCCCGGAAGGACAGTGCGTGCAAGAGGCCAGTCCGGCGCTGGAATGACGGGCTGTAGCTCCGGTACCCGATGTAGCCAATGTCATCCAGGCCTTGCAGACCAGGCGGGGGTGGGGCCTGGGACGCAGGAAGGTCCCTGGGTGGGCAGGCAGGGGTGCGGGCAGACGGACGCTGGGAAGCCCAGCCACAGCGCTCAAAACGGGGTGACACCAGTGCTCCTGGACCCAGTGCCTCGGCTGAGCGGGTGGCCCGGCTCAAGTAGTCGTCTGAGCGGGCTCGGTGCCAGCCCTCGTGACCCAACTGGCTCAAGGCACCCTGGGAGGTGGAGCAGGGCCACGGGTGGTGGGCAGTCACATCCTCCAACCGGTCCTGGGAGGCACTGCGGGCCCGGGGGGGCATGGCAGGGCACCGTCTCTCCCCCGCCCTGCGGGGTACCTGGTTTGACAGCCAGTGTGACAAGGCTTGCTGGCACTCCAGTCTGCTGGGGGGCACCCGGCTGCCAGGCTCCGGGAAGGCACGGGGCGTCCGGGGCTCCGAGGGGAGGCGGGGGAAGGCACCAGGGCTGGGGCGGGGCTGGCTCATCCCCAAGGAAGAGTGGTCCGGATGGGTGCGGGTGGCGGAAGGGACGCGGGGCCCCGGGTCGCTCCAGGCAGCAGGACTCCGGGGGTCACTGGGCAGTGCTGAGAGGGGCTCAGGCACCATAGTGGCCCAGGTGGAGACCCGGGCTGGCGGGGCATAAGTCTTTCGAGGGTAGCAGATCGGGGGCGGCTCTGGGATGCTCCGGGCCTCTCCAGAATATGGCTCGTTCCCCTTCAGGTAGGCGTCCTGGGAGTAGGCCTGGCCGGGGACACAGAGGCAGGTGAGCAGGGCTGGACAAGTCCCGCAGGGCGGAGTGACATCAGCCCTGGGAGATCGGGATCCCAGAGAAGTGGACTGAGGGAAAGGGACGAAGCAGAGGGGGCCCTGAGTGGGTGGGAGCAGGAAGGCCTGCTCCAAAGAGGGTCGGGGGGAGGGAGGGCGAGAACAAAGAAATTAGAGGCCTTTGAGAGACACACACACACACACACACACATACACACACCCTCTCACTCTCTGCTTCTGTCTCTCCCTCTCTCTCTCTCTCACTAGAGAAACCGCCAGGATTTCTCTAAGACTTATGACAAGGACTGCCTTTAGCCACAAACATTCCAACATCTGTTTTCTGGGGTCCTCCCCCCATGCTGGCCTCAGCCGCCTCCCTGCTGCCTTCCATCCGGCAGTGCCCTCGGCTCCTGGGGGCAGGCCTGGGAAAACCCATCAGAGACCCGTCAAGGTGGCAGAAGACAGAGAAGGAAGCTGACTGAGGGGTGTGTCCATTGGTGGGGGGGGGCGGGGGGGGGCGGGGAGGCTGGGAAAGCCCAGCTGTCCCTTCATCCTCTGGACAGGGAGCTGGGGCCTGGCTCCCGGGCCCCTGGAGAGAAGAGAAACTTGCCCACCTGGGGCTCCCTCTGGGCCAGGCTTGGGGGAGGGGCCAGACTGCCTAAGGGGCCTCGGGCCACCCTCTGCCACCTCAGGCCTGGAATCTGGCACTGGGAGCTGAGGCTGACGCTGCATTGCTGAGGAGTGACAGGGCCGGTGCCCAGGCCCAGCCAAAAAAGGAGGCAGCCCCTAGGGACAGAGGCCTTGTGGCCCTGGCCTCGCCTGGCCCTTGATGGGTGCCCAGGGGCCTATCTCAGGATGAAGTATCAAAGGGTGGGAGGGTGAAACACAACACATACACACTCGCACGCGCACGCGCGTGTGCATGCCACACCGCAAGGAGATACTGGAAAATACACACCCAGAGACACACACACACAGCGAAACACAATGAGACACACACACACACACAAATAACTAGACCTCCAGTCCCAGGCACACGCATCATGTGATGAGGACAAGTTAGACCACACACCCCCCACTCACACTCAGCCCCTCCGGACCCACACCCCCCGCCGGGGACACTCACATACCTCTCCCTCCTGCCATCCTGCAGGCTCCCCCGGCTCCCCACATCACGGTGGCGCTGGCGACAGCATCTCAGCCAGCCTTGCCTTCCCGGCCAGGGGCCGAATCCCCCCACTGACCTCTGTGCCGGCCCCACCTCTGCCCCCCGGCCCCACCTCTGCCCCCCGCCCCCAGTCTGCCCTCCCGGCAGCTGCCCTCAGCCCCCACTGGCTCTCTCTCTCTCTGTCTCTCTCTCTCTCAGCGGCTGGCTGGCGGGAGGAGGAGGGAGGGGAAGATGGGTGTGGAGGGGCCTCGCCGCGTCGGCGGTGGCGTCAGCAGCTGCCGCGGCCCCATTGGCCTCCAGCCTTGGCTCCAACCACAGGAATGCCTGGGCCCCACCCTCCGGCTGGCCTAGGATGGAGGGGCCAGCGGAGGGCCCCAGATGCTGACATCTGGGGCTGCCTGCCCACCAGAACCTCAAACCCCGACACCAGAGCTCCAGGCTGCTGCTCTCCCCACCCCTTGCCCTCCTCCCACCCGTCACCCCCTCATCCCTTTCCTTGCCTCTGCCTGGCAGAAGGGTACCCGCAGGGCCTTGGAGACTTGGGGGGAGCCATCTCCCTCTCTGGGCCCCCAGGCTCACCTCCCCCTCCCCAGGAAGGGCAAGGGGACAATCCAGGTCAGAGGGCGGAGGTTCCCAGAGGGGCACGGTGCCAAGCATGGCACACTGTGATTATAGTGATTATGAGAGCCCGTCCAGGGCAGAAGCCAGCCCGGCTCCCAGGGCCTCCTGGGTTTGGCCCTCAGCCTTCCCCCAGGGGGTAGTGACCTTGGGGGCAAGCAAGCTGGCATCTGGCTAAGACCCATGAGAGCAGGGAACCGGACACTGGGCAGAGAGGACTGCCCTGGGCTCTGGGCCAGGCCTGGGGTCGGTGTGCACAGAGAGAGAGCATATGTAGGCGTGTGTAAGCGTGTGTGTGTGCACACGAAGAGCATGTGGTATGCTGAGTGCAGTCTGGGTGCCTGCTCTATGCATGGGGCATCCGGACTGTGCACCCTGAGAGTATAAGCCTCAATTATCAGGCTCGTGTGTCAGGCTCAAGCATGCGGTGATGGCCGTGGGCGTAGGTACTGTGACAACAGCAAGCATCTGTAATATCGGGGAGCATCCGTGTGACAGTGAGCAGTCGGGAGTCTGCGTGCTGTGATACCCCGTGGCATGTCGTGAGGACCTGGGACACCCAGGAACGTCTTGTGCTGTTTGGATGTTTGTGTGTGGCAAGGCTAGAGTCTGTGTGGGCATGTGTGGTAGGGGTGCCGGCATGTGTGTGTGCATGTGCCTCATGGCCCGGACCGGGCGCAGTGTATCTGGTGTGCTGTGCGTGTGTTATCATGCAGTGCAATGTACCATGTGCTTGATGAAGGTAGGTGCCATGGGCTTATGCTGTGTGGCAGCGTTTCTAGCGTGTTCTGCTTGTGTGTCGAGTGGTGCATGGTCTGTTGTGTGAACAAGAGCACTTGCTGGTGGGGTGGGGTGGGGTGGGTTGTGCTGTGTGTGTGTGTGCGCGCACGTGCACGTGCGGACACATCTACAAGAGACATGTTCACACGGGGCCAGGAAGGGAGGGGGTGGGAAGAACCGGCTCTTGGGAGCTGACAAGAACGTGCCAGTCTGGCAGGGCCCGCTGGGCCACCCTCCTTCTAGATGCCCTGGCAGGAATCCTGCCTGCCAAGGCCAGTGCCTCCCCCTCCCCCTCCCCCGGCACAGAGCAGCCCTGAATGAAGCAACAACCAGCCCCGGCCCAGGGATGGGCCTGGCATCCCTGATTGGGCAATGCCAGGCTGGCGCAGCCCCCTACACTCTTCTCTGCCTCCTGAAGGCAGAAGGGAGGCCCCAAGGAGAAGAGATGTCTCCTGCCCCCAGCCCCCAGGGGCCCTCCACCGCACACAGCAGGGCAGGACTCACCAGCTGGAGGATGTCTTCATCCTTGGGCATGATGGAAAGCTCCAGAGTGTCATCGCTACAGAGACAGGGCAGGGGGTCAGGCCAGGCTGAGGCAACAGGGTCTGGGAGAACAGGGATCCTGGTCGCCAGGGCACCCCCAGGGTTAAGGGGGTGGGGTGCAGGGACTCAGTGAGCAGGCTGGGAGCTACTGCAGGAGAAGGGAGGCAGGGGGCGCTCACCTATTCTGGATCAGAGCTATGACCTGGGAGTAGGTCTTCCCAATGACGCTCTCCCCGTTCACTTTCACCAGCCGGTCTCCTGGGGAAAGCAGGGGTGGGGTGCACGGACCACATGTGAGCCGGCCAAGGGGCATCAATGGCCCCTTCTCAGAGCCCCTGAACCAGGCATGGATGACAGCACCAGGACCTGGATCTGAGAATCCATCCCATCCGAACCAGAGAGTAGGTGGAAGAGACCCAGAGAAGGGCAGCTCACCGGTGCGGAGGCCTGCTCTGTGGGCGGGGCCGTCATCCTTCACGTTCTTGACGAAGATGGTATCCATGGGCTCCAGGCGGTGGTGCCGGGGGGAGGGTCCTGGTAAGGATCAGCCAGGTTAGCTGGGGGCGGCTGTGCAAGGTCACACCCATGCACAGCTACACACACAGGGGACACACACACTGGGAGAATGGTTACATGGACACAAGCACGGACCCACACGTTCACAGAGACATGGCTGCACAGGGTGAGACAAGGGGATACACCCCTGGGAGAACAAAGACCCGTGTGGGGGGAAAAACGTACACGGACACACAGAGCCTCTCCTTATATGGCGGTTTCATCCCAGCGCGGTGCCAGAAAGGAGACTGAAAAGGATGGACAGATACAGGCCTCGCCTCGTGGAGCACCCTGTCTAGTGGGACAGACACCCACACACGCAGAATGTCCACACCCACGGACCTGGGGAAAGCTGCGGAAAGGCCTTGCTGCTCACACTCTATACCCACGCCTCCCACCCCACCCCCTTCCCGGGGAGCAGGGGATTCTGAACAGGGGCCTGAAGATCCTGAGACGGGCATTCACCCCCTCGCAACATCACATTACTGCCCAGCTGCTAACTGTCTCCATCAGAGAAAGGGGCCTGTTCTAGGTCGGCGGGCTCTTCCCCTCGCCCCCAGGGGCCTCCGTGATGGGAACTCAGGAGTGTCGCCATGGCTGCCTAGCAGACGCCCCAACGGCAGAGAAAGAAGGCTGCTCTCTGCCCGTTAAAGGAGTTTTGTCTTGAGTGCCCTGGGGGGGCAGAAAGGGGCCCTTTGGGATAGCAAGGGTGACCACCTGGGGAATAAAGACCTCAGGGCTTCCCTTACACCCAACAGAGCCCAGTGTCTCCATCTCCGAGGACAGCCATTGGTCAGGTGCACCTTACCACCCCCCTCCCAGGCCCTGCAGCCCTGTCTGTGCCTCAGTCTGGGCTGGGAGTAACTCCAGGGCAGGGGCCAGGTCTTAGAAAGCCATGTGCTCCCCAGAGCACCACCCCCAGGTGGTGAAATTCAGGGAGCTCTGCCCTAGAGCCCAGAAAAAATGCGCTGCCTCTTGGATTCTTAAAAAGAAAAGGATTGAGAAGAGAGAGAATGGGCAGGTACTCAGAGTGGACACAGAGAAGAGCAAAGACTGGAGCAGCAGTCAGGGCTGGGGAGGGGGGGGGGTGGCGAGCGGGGGAAGGGCGGAAGGAGGGTAGGCAGCAAAATCCAGGCTGACTTGGGGTAGAGGGAGAGAAACGGGAGCTGGAAAACGGGCCCCAGCTCAGCCCCAGCCCTGGGCCCCACCCCCACCACTCCTTACCTCCTCCTCGGCCTCCATTCTCTTCCTCCTGCAGGGGACAGAGAGGTGGGTGTGGGCCCTGGGTCCAGCCCTCAGTAGCTCTACTTGGGCGGGCCCTTCAATCTCCCCCACCCAAGGCCTCCCCTCTTATCTTCCTTCAACTAGCCTGGCACTCAGACAAGGCAGGAGGGGTGTCAGTGGGGACATCAAGCCCTAGGCAACATTCCCCAATAACACGAACCCTCTCTCATGACTGCTGACCCCACCGCCTTGTATCTTGGCTATCTGAAAGCCCCCAATCCAATGGGGGACCCATGACCCCTTCTCTTGGGGAGCTCCAAGCCCGACGAAGGAGGCACTGAATATACACATGGAGAGAGGACACAGGCAGACACAGATAAGCAGGCATGACAAGTGCAAACAGTGGCTATCAGCTCTTAGAGAATGGGAAGGGAAGACCTGATTAGCGCTCCTCTGGGGGAGGGGATTTTAAGGCAAGTTTGAGGAGGGAGGGGAGAGGGCATTCTGGGTGAGGGGAGGGGAGTGTGCAGGCCCTGGGTGCCAGAAATAAGCAAGCATTTGTGGGGACTGCATCAGCTGAGGCTACGGAGAAAGAAAGCAGCACCAGGAAGTGACAGAAGTCAGACTAAAGCATTCGGGTTTGAAAGGACAGAAAGAGGCAGCCAGTGAAGGTTCTCGGGTGGGAGAGAGTGGATGTGAAATACCAACGAGGGAACAGGATTCTAGCATCTAGCAGGGCTAAGAGATGGAGTCCAGGAAACTCACTAGGGAGACCTTTGGGATCATACTGTTAGTGAGAGGGAGGGTATTGGATTTGGGGAGGAAACTGAAATGAGGGAAAGGAGAAGGTCAGAGAGACAGGAAGGATCGCACGTTAGAGCCAGATCCGACATTTGGCGTCATCTTATCTACCCTTCTCCACAGACAATCCATTCTAGAGCAGATGACAGGGCATGACTTGTCCAGAGCCACTTCGGCCAGGGCTGGAACCCAGGACTCTCTGGCACCCCGGCCAGGATATGAAGGCTGTGGGGCACAGCCGGAGGGCAGTGCCTCTGCCCCCGCCCTCCCCGTGTGAGGTGTGTGCCTGCCGATGTGAGCTGACAGTACAGTGAGCGGGTGGCAAAGGCAGATGGATGCATTTAGACGGCTGAGCTCCCTGTGGGCTCCCGGGTTCTAGAAAAGGGATGGAGTCCATCCCTGGCTTGCCCCGCCTGGGTTCTTCCAGCACCCCACGTGAGCAAAGTTTCTCTGAGACAGGTCTGCCCCCCAGCCTCGACCACTCAGGCTGCTCCCGCCCCGGTCACCCCTCAGCAGGGCCCCCGCAGAGAAGGTGGCAGAGACCAGGCAGGAGGGACATTCTGGGGGAAAAGGAAAGGAAGGACTGGAGGTTCCAGGGAACTAGAAGGTTGGTGTCCTTTGGCATCAAAGGTGGGGGGGCTGTGCCCCCTCTCACACACCATCAGCCCCCACTTATACTCTTAAGCACAGTTGCACCCAATGGGAATAGTTCGTGCAGGTGCTCCCAGATTCCGGAAGAGTGCACAGGGACACATACTGAAGACGGGTATTTACATGTGTATCTGCACATGCCTAGATACACACACATACATGCACATGACCAGCATACGGGGCACCCGACTGCATACAAAGAGAGCCGTGCAAGTTCACAGACACAGGCAGTGAAACCCAAGACCCCGGTTCTCTGGCAGGTGGGACCAAGCTCCCCGAGGGAGAGTCCCCAACAGCTGGTCCCCGCCCTGGGGGAACGGGGGAAACAGGTTTACTGACTCCAAAATAAATCTGTCTCCTGCCCTGCTGGGGAGAGAGGTGGGGGAAGGGAGAGGGGCCCTCCTGGGGAGCCCCAGTTCCTGCTTAGGGCCCCCTCACTCTTCCTGCATGCCTGCTTTACCTTCAGGGAGGCCCGCCCCCAGCCTACCCTACAGGTTAGGCACAGACAACCTGACCTTTATATTATTACAGCTGGAAGGGCTCTTGGGGCTCAAGGAGATAAACGCCCTCACATTACAGCAGAAGTGACCAGTAAGTGAGACCAAAGTTAGGTAGGAGTCGCACCAGGGCTAGAAGCCAGGGCGCCCCCCTCCCAGCCTGGTGCTGTCCAGCTCTCCAGCACCCAGAGCCCAGAGCCAAGGCGAGTGCAGAGCCTGGAGCACTCCGGAAGGAGTCCCAGAAGGGAGGAGTCCCAGGGGTGTTTTAGGACGGACTCCCCAAGAGCTCAGGTGAGGGAGGGAGCCACAAAGGCAGCTCAGACACGGCCACAGGACAAAGAGTCCCAGGAACTCCATCTCTCTGAGAAGGGAGAAGGCGGTTCACTTTCCAGAGACCAAGTCTGGGGGTGAGTGTGAGCGTCCTGGCTTCCGCCACCCCCAAGTGCATCGCCCCGAACCAGTCACCCTTCTCCTGGGAAGACCAAACCTGGAGCAGTTAGGGATCTTTCCCACAATCGTACAATACAAATGACCCAGTCAGGGCAGCCCCTGCCTCTCAGGGACCCTCCTCCCAAGGCCACAGAAGAAGGATGTGGAGGGGACAGTGCAAAGGAACCTCACTTCCCCCCACTGAAGCTTCCCTCAGGCCAGGCCAGGGCAGCAGGCAAGGTGGGGTGTACCTTCAGGCTGCAGTGCACAGCTGACTCGGGCGGGTACACGATGAAGTGGCGCAAGGTGAAGCCAAAGCCGTCCTGGAGACTTTTGCGCAGCAGAAGTGTCCGCGGCCCCTGCCAGGGGAGGGGGCGCCCCGAGGAGCACCCATCTCTCGGGCCCAGCGGCAGCTGTGGGAGCACGGGGAAAGAGGGTTGAGTGACCATGTGGCCGGCACTCCCAGGTGTGCACACTGCCTCCTGCAGCCAGCGGGAGGGACTGGGGCAGGGGATGGAGGGTGCGGGCAAGGGCCCTGGGGTCCCGAGCACCGTCCCCTGCTCCCAACCTCCTCCTCACCCCCTTCCTTCCTCTCCCTCGCTCATCAGTCCAAAGCTGCTTCTTCCTTTCTCTCCCCTCAAGCCCCTCATGACACCTTTGCTTCCAGGGAAATAACTCCCTGCAGTCAGCCAGGTTCTCAATCAGGTCCGTTCAGCAAATGTTCGCCGGGCACCTATTATGCTCCAGGGACTAGACACAAGGCCTTCTAGCCTGGGCAGCGCCTGCTGCCACCCGAGCTCCTGCCTGCCTGCCGCATGATCTCACACAAAGACACAGACACATGCACATAGACAGAACACCCTACATACCCACATACGCACACTCATGTGCAAAGGTACACACGGAGGCACGGATGAGTCCACACACAAACGCTGTGTGGACAAACATGTGCACGCACGATCGCACATGATCGGGGTCTCGCACACATGCATACACACGCACAGACACACGCACACAGCATATGCCTCGGACATACAGACGCACACACATGCAGAGACTGGCATGCACATGCATCCCTCAGGAACAGCAGCAGCCACAGGTGGGGGCCTAGAGCCACGAGGGAGCAGGCTGGACATCAGACAACTGAAAGGACTTCCTGGAGCTCCGGAGCCCAGCCAGAGGCCTGGCCGGTGGCCGGTCACCGGATCTGAGAGGGGAACTGGGTGGGGGTGGCGGGGAGACACTGGGCTGCCCTCTGGCCGACCCACTGGAATACTTGGGATTCCCCAAGGTGACGGGCAGGGGAGGTCTGAAGACCAGGGCTGGAGGGCACACAGGCCTGGTTGAGAGTACGGACACTGCTGGAGAGAGGGTCACCTCAAGCTCCCTGCTCAGACACAGAGAGGGAAAGTGGGTGACAGAAGGGCATCAGAGAGAGGCATGCGTGCCCAGGGAGGCCACCAGCAGATTGGACAAGATGGAAGGGTGGGCTGCCAGGTGAAAAGCCGGGATGCCTCCCTCGGAGCTCTTTAACCCCCAACCTCAGGCATCCTAACCTGGCTGGGGGCCCTAATCGAAACGTCAGAGGGCAAGAAGCCTCTTCACCCCACCCTCAGCAGTCTCCTCAACCCCCACGCTCCTCCTTGGCACCAGCCAGGAGTCTTCAGGGGAAGAAAGGCGGGCTGGGCATAGACGGAAGTAGCCCACCAGTTCTGGGGTGAGGGCCTCCCCCTTCTCTATTAAGTTCCCCCTTCTCCCTCTCCTGACTGCTGGAGAATGCTCAAATTTGCCACTTGGAGGTACTGATACTAAGAAGCTCCTTCATGTAGCCACCCCACCCCCCACTCCACCCCTCACCCCACCCCTGCACCAGCCTGTTCACATTACTGGTAGAAGAGAGCCCTGAGTCCAGCCCTCTGCCCGGGAAATGCTGTACTGGGGCGGGGGTGGGGCTGTAGTCAGGCTGACTTGGGAGAGGGGGGTATATCCTCGAATCTCAGAAGATTAAAGAGCAAAGAGCAATTCGCCAGGGGCAGTCGGCTTGCTCCATGCAGTCCCCGAGAACATGGCCAGGTGGAAGGCAGGGGGAACAAGCGAAGCCCTGGGCCAGGGAGACCATTCTAATCATCCCCATCTGGAAAACTACCAGATGAGATGTGAGCACTCCTTCTCCTGAAGGGTTCAAGCAAAGGCTGGATGATCCGCAGTCCAGGAGGCCGCAATGGAGATTCCAGACGGGGGCAGGAAGTCCAGGGATGGCCCCTCGGCTCAGCCTGTCCACTGAACCCCCACACCCCCATGGGGGTCTGAAGAGTCCAGGGGAGAAAATTCTCTGGGGAGAAAATTCTCTGGGAATTCTGCTGAAGTCTGAAATCCCCTGGATTTCCTATCTCTGCTGACCTGGCAAGGAACTGATCGGGGACAGCAGAGGGCCTGGGAGATCCTCCCTGCCTGCTTCTACCAGAAGCCCCTACGCCTCCCCAGTGTGGCCTGCCTCCCCCCTGCACGCACTCCATCGGGCTCCGAGCTGAGGCTGTTTGCAGGGCCCATTGTTTCGCCGGTGTCCTGGATTAAGGTTTAAGCCACCAGCTGCCCCAGTGACGAGAAGTGGCTGGGACAGGTCCCCACATGCCCCCCACCCCCTCTCCAGCACACATCCTGCCTGGGGCTGCCAGCTGCCAGGGGGTGCCACTCTCTGGGGCCCTGGATATAACCCAGGGCAGGGGGCAGCCTTCCTTCTCTCAGGCCCCCTCCTGGCCCAAACACCACTGGCACCCCCCTCCCTTATCTCTGCCTCTCCCTTTCCTCTTATGCTTCCTTCCAGTCTCCCCTCCCCCATCTCTTCCAACCGGCTCCTGAGAATGTCAGCTGAGAATGTCAGCGTGGCGATCCCCCTGCCACAGCTACCACACCCCAGCCTGAAGAGGAGACACCACAGCCCCCACCAACAGCCAGACCTGGTGGCTCCCCTGTGGGATGTTCTCCCTTGGATGTAACCTCAGTCCTTCATACTAGTATACACACATTTCCTCTCCTCCTCTCTGACCTGGGACACCACTGGGTCTGGCTCGCACCTTCACAAAGAGGGAGACGATGGACACCAAAACAGAGGAGGAACCCGGCAATGGGAACAGAAAGGTGACTAGATTGGGAAGGGTTTCAGCTCACACACCTCCACAGCTCTGCCTCTCCGGGGTAGGCAAAGAGATAAGGCGACAGAGAGGGAGAGGCTGGGGGGACACAGGGGACATCACTGATTATTGCTCTCCTGGCCCAGATCTATCTCCAAATGCTCTCACCCTCATGCCAGGAAAGAGACATCCAGAAATACCAGCTGATGGTGGGAAGAGGGCAGATGGCCCCAGGGTCACAAATTAGAACTGGACACGTGGTGGGTTGGCAACACCAGGACCCAGAACCCAGGAGTCCTGCTCCTCCCCCCTAGGAGCATAAAGAGGTCATTGCAGGGAGCACAGCGTTCATGCTGGGCACGGAGCCCACTGTGACTCACGCCCTACCAGCCCGGTCGATCCCGGACATCAGATACACTGTCCCCACCCCCTATCTCCAGCCCTGTCAGTCCTCACCCTGAGATCACTCATTACCTGCCACCTCTGCCTCCTTTGCCCACCAGGAAACCCTTGCGTGCCCCTGTGCCCACAGCCCCCAATCAGGGAGAGGGCAGAGTGGTGCCCATCACTCCACTTAGTAAGATCCTTGCCTGCCTCTGACTCAGGTTCTTGCCAGCCAAACTCCTCGGGATTCCATGCCCCAGCATCTCCTCAAACAACCCTGGTCCCTTCCGTCCTTCCACTGCCTATAATAAACCAAGGGGCTTGAGCCACTGGAGGCCACCACCCAGGCTGGGGAGTCCGCATCCGGCGCTCCGGGAAGAAAAGTTCCCGGCCACAACCTGCCAGCCTCAGCCGCACGTCTCCAGCTCCTCACTCACTCCCCCACTCCGGGGCATCGCTCCCACAATGCAGGGCGCACTCAGCTCCAAGTTCGCAGGGAGCTGGTGGGCCGATCCCACCCACGCCGTCGAGGCCAGACCCCTGTCCCCCGGCCCGCGGCCCGGCAGCCCCCGCGGCGCTCACCCTGGCGCGGCGCGGCCCCGGCGCGCGAAGCTCCCTGTGGGCGAGGCAGGGCAGCCAGAGGCAGCGCGGCTCCGGGGCGCTGCAGTCCACGCCGACGGCGCGCTCCCAGCGCCAGCCCCCGGCCCCCGCGCGCTCCACGCGCCACACGGCGCCGCCCACGAGCGCCGCGGCGGGAGGGCGCCCCCGGGCCGGGCCGCCGCCCCCGCCCCAGCCAGCCGCGGGCCCCGCTTCCGGAGCGGGGCGCGGGGCGCGGGGGACCCCGGCCGCTCCGCGGCGCCCGGCCGGCGGCGTCCTCGGGCCCCCGGGCGGCGGGCGGGCCCCTGAGGCCCCCGCCCGCCCCCCGGAGCCGCGGGCCCGGGACCCAGGGGCCCCGGGGGGACGGACGGCCCGCGCGGATGGCGGCAGGACGGCTGGGGCAGCTCCGCGCCTCCCGCGCCTCCGGAGCCTCTTGGCTGAAGGCGCCCGAGCCGCCGAGTCGCGCAGGGCAGACGCCTCCCCCTCCGGGGCGGCCCCTGTGCGCGGCCGCCCAGATTCCCCCCCCCCCCACTCACACACACACCCACACATACACACGCGGGACGCACTATACAGCGCCCCCGTGCAGCCACACATTGCACGCCCTGCATGGGCACACACAGACACACACACCCTCACCCTCCCACTCACACGAAAACTCACACTGCCCCGGCCCACACACGTTGTACTCCACAAACACGCACATCCAGCCTCACCTGCTGGAGAAACACACTTTCACTTGTGCACACATGTAAACACACGTCCTACCCACCCTGTATGGACCCACACCACACACACACACATCTATACCCCCAATACCCTCCCATCCACACACACTCACATACACTCTCTCTCCCTCTGTCCACAGACCCCACATAAACACACTATTCCCCTCACATGCCCATTGTGTGTGGACACCTTTCCATATGCACACACACTTGGGACACCCTCCACACGGACACATTTGCAAGCATACCCACTGTGTCCTTAAAAGCACACCAGACCCCCCAGGCACTCACCCATACACACACACCCCCCACAGAGACACCGCGAAGGCAAGCCAGATGACATGCACACATTGCCCAGAATACACACTCCGTGCTCTGATGCTGTACCCCCTCAGTTCACACACACACACACACACACACACACACACACACACACGCTGCCCAGCACCGAGAGCAGACTGCCTCTCATACCACCATACCACCCCGTACCAGAGTTATGATATAACCTTAGGCTGCAGGGGATTGTGACCAACCCCCTTCCCCGGGACCCCCTGCCCATTAGTCCCACCCAGA